AAAAACAAAAAGATTTAATTTTAATATGAACAAAAGCCTTATCTCTCAATCCAAATATAAAAGTGCCTAAATATAAAACCTTTCAAATAGCAAATATTTCTAAAAAAAAATGACAGCCAATAAAAAACAAAAGGATTTAATTTTTACAGAAACAAAAACCTTATCTCTCAATCCCAAATACAAAAGTGCCAAATACAAAATTGCCTAAATGTCAAACCTTGTAAATAGCAAATATTTCTAAAAAAACTGACAACACCTGAACATCGCAATTAAGGACACTGTCCACAATGGACAATGAAAAAAGATAAGAATGAAAAGATCGATGGGGAATGATAATCGACCGGATGGGTGGAGTCAGGTGAGAGGTGCAGAAGACCATAGAAAGTCTGTATCATGAAATTGCATTCCATAAAGAATGGAAAGTCGATGAATAATTCTCTTCATTTTTTTTTTATTTTCTTTATGCGAATTACCGTGGGGCACTGAAGCGATTGCTTGTCCAGCCATCTTTTTCCCCCTTTTTTTCGTTAGAGACGGACTGCGTACTCTCGATCGGAAAGATCAACAAGAGTACGACGACCGACGACTGGGCTAGATTAAGGCAACCAGGTCACGTGCCACTGATGCCAATGGTATCGTTACTTATGAACCATTCCAACAGTAATCGACACTATGTGTACCGATCTTTCCCGAAACTGAAGTCTAAATATAGCCTCGGGTCTAATAAACTCGAAGTGTACTCTTGATTTTTAGGGAAAATTGTTTGAAGATGCTGGTAGAAATTTTTATTTAGAAATTTTTAGTAAAAGTAGAGTGTGCTTGTGGACTAGCTGGACTGTAAATAATTTTACTTTTTTTTTTTAATTAATTTTAGTGGAAATTGCAGAAGAGTTCAGGGAGAAATAATTCTGAAGACCTCACTCAAAATTGTTGTTATACAGTATCCTGTAGAACCTAACATTTATTTCAAAGATTTTACTCACAAGTTTATTTTTTAAACAATAATCTGCTGAATCACAAGCTAATTTGTTAGGACCATTGCTGACATTGAGAGATTTATCATAAGTTATGTAATGAATTACATCGTGTGGGCTGTCATTACTCTAAACGTCCCTGAATAAATGATCTCAATACGAGTTTCATTTCAGAATTACTCTGAAATATATTCTGCAAAATAAAAGAGAGTATTAAATTAAAAATCGCTATACATATTTACTTTGTGTTACAAAAGTGCAGATGTTGCAAAAGAGATAAACTTTGACTATCGACTTTAACAATTTGACTATCGTAAATTAACCATAAGTCAACTTTATTTTATAAACAATTAGAACATTTGAAAATACACCTGAGAATATATATTTTCACTATGCCTACAAGCATTTATGTGTTTGCTTATACATTTAGTTTGCAAAGATTTGAATTATCATGCTCGAAGAAAGTTGATCAACAGGTCAACACCAAAGAAGCACACAAGAAAAATATTGGTAAAAGATACAGCTAATTTCAGTTTTCTAATATTAAATTATCTATGCGATTTCTAATGTCAAAGGTGAAAAGTTACGTTGACACAGGTCTTGTTTTAAGAACAAGCATGAGTGTACAGATATAAGAAAGTCTTGAGGCAATTACCATCTTACACGTAGATCGTCTATAATTAATCGAGGAAATTGTGTCGGGAATAGTGCCAGGCAAAACATACGGAAGCAACAACGTGAGAATGACCGTCCCAAGGACGAGGACGGTCATTAATCATAACATCGGTACGGTAGTTACGGGAGGCTTGAATATCACCATAGGTAGTGATGGGTTTAAGCAGTTTGCAAGTTCACTTTAGATTCCCACCTTCCCAAATTTCCAAGTTCCCAAATTCCCAAATTCCCAAATTCTCCTATTCCCAAATTCCCAAATTCCCAAATTCCTAAATTCCCAAATTCCCAAATTTCCAAATTCCCAAATTCCCAAATTCCCAAATTCCCACCTTCCCAAATTCCCACCTCCCCAAATTTCCACTTTCCCCAATTCCCACCTTCCCAAATTCCCAAATTCCCAAATTCCCAAATTCCCAAATTCCCAAATTCCTAATTTCCCAAATTTTATAATTTCTAAACCCCTAAATCTCCAGTTCCTTGAATCCCCAAATACCCTAATTTTCCAAATCCCCAAATCCCTAAAACCCCAAATCTCCAAAACCCCAAATCCCCAAATCCCCAAATCCCCCAAAAAATATTTCCAACAAACGAAACTAAAAGAACAACAGTTCATATCTCGCTTAAACCCATCGCTACTCCAGAACGGAATTGAATCATGGAATACTGGTTACGCGCACGCGCATAATCAAGCTTTCTGCGCTTAGAAGCAGATATGCATCGAAACATCGAAAATTATCGGCTATTTCTGCAGATATGTTCGATAAATAGCTGGGATACTTTGTTTAAGTCATTCATAGGTGAAATGCATGAAAGTCGAAACAATTCGAGGTTGCCTCATTAAACCGAAACACTAATTAACCCATTTCTATGGAGATTGCTGGTCCAGATTATCCTTAAACGTTACCTGCAATTGTTCCAAAGATAAAACAAGGATATATGGAATGTCCTGATTAACTTGATCTTTAAATATCTTCTTCATTTTTTATGATAAGGAATCTTTGTATAATTTAAGGAGCATGTATTAGGTTGTCTCTTTCGTTAGGTTGAAAAGTGGTTTAGATTATGTTTAGACAAATGTACTTTGATACTTGTTTGACATAAACTTGTTTTGTAATTTATGTCTGAAGTGGCATTTATTATTTTAGCTTTTTGTTTTATGACAAAGTATCTCACTTTCTTGTATGTCTTTCCTGAAAGATGGCTAACCAGAATTTACATCAGCAACGTGTGATATTATAGTCATTAAATAAGGAAACGTTGAGAAGGTATAATATCCACATTGTAGTTGTCCAGACTATCTGCAACTAATTTTGAAGATTTATGACTGGAAGATCACGACCGTAGTCGTGAATGTAGATAGTTCTGATAATTTAAAGCTGGGATTAAAGACATAACCCAGAAGCTAAGTAATTTAACAGATCTGGACTTAGGAGATTAACGTCATATTTCCCAAGTAGTTTAAACATTGAACCTAGTAGATCAGTAACGTAATCGAGAATGTATCTGATTCAGAAAATGTAAAGTTAGATCAATCACATAATGATCACCTATTCACCATGACTAAGTGTCCATATCATAGAAAGTGCATCCTAAAGGAGCTCTCCACCTCCTATACACCTTTCGCAAAGTTACTCTAACATCTCACAAACACCAACTAATGGCCATCTCATGAAGCTTGAATTAAGTACAGACCCATTCCAGACTTAACTCAATCGAACCACCATGAAGCATACGTTCAATTCCCCATCAACCGAAGTACTTACGATTTGCTCATTCAACCTAAAAGGACCCGTTCCTCAAGAGATTGGTCACTTTAAACGAAGGTAGAATCCTGTATAAGCACTGCTAGATCCCCAAAGGATTCTGGTCCAGTCGGCATAAGATCCCTAGCTTGTCGACAGAGTTCCACTCGAAGAAGGCTCTATAGTCCATCTATTGGAACTGGGAGGATCTTGTCTGTCGTAAACTACTTCGACAAAGGCAAACTTTACTTTTAGTTAGGCTAGTCTATCAGATACCACAGTTAACCGTGAGATAAGCGTTTTGCTGAACGTGACAGAAATGTGAGCATAAGTGAACAAAGACTTGGACTCTTTCCATGAGATCTTGGACCCTCTCTTCATTTTTTCTCTTACATGTTCAACATTGGAGTACCATGAGGACGTCATAAAAAGGGTAAACTTTTCGGTGACATTTATGGAATCTATGTCTGGGTGGTTGCTCTAGATTTACTGTAGGCTATAGGATGTTATATCATCGATTCGCTGTATATTATAGATTTACTAGGTTGTACACATATGGTAGATCCATCAGGACTATGATAGGTACTAGGACCTACTGTCACACATAACAGATCTACTTAAGTCGATATCCATGTAGTAGATGTACAGTAACTTATTGTAGATCTGCTAGGACTACAGTCACATATGGAGGATCTAGGCCTATAGTCATAAACAGATCTGTATGATAGATCTGTTTGACTTATAATAACATGGTGGACCTATTAGGCCTACGGTTACATATGATAGATCCATTTGACCTACAGGAACATAGTAGACCTATTAGACCCATAATCATATATGGAGAACCTACTAGGCCTATCATCACATATGACAGATCTGTTTGACTTATAATGACATAGTGAACCTATTAGGCCTGCTGCTACATATAGACCCACATGACCTATACGAACATAATAGACATACTAGATCTATAATCACATATGGAGGACCTGCTAGGTCTATAGTTGCATATAGTTGATCTACTGGACCCATAGTGACATAAGAGATCTAGTAGGCCTGTAATCACATATAATAGATCTACTGGGCCTATCTTAACATCAGTATAGGCCTTGAACAAAATAATACATTCCATCTTCAGGAATTAGACTTCCTTTTCATTTGTGGACCACGAGACCCTTTACCAAGTGTTCAACTTGCACATGTCATCAGCAATTGGGCACTGCTACAACATTCACACGGAACATAAACTGTTCCAATCCTCCTCACTGATCATCTACTTCTCTAAAACTTGAAACTGACCCGGCGTCCACCAAACTTCTACCTGAAGATTATTCCAACCTGCGCACCTACGCTTGGCAACAATTCTTACATCTATTTCCGTGGTACTTTCCCCACTTGCGACAGCTACTCAAACCTACGCTACACGTCGAAAGCATGATCAGAGCGTAGAGGTCCCTTCGTTCAGTCGTAAACACGCATACATCGAACGACAATTGAAACACGTCGCGCACTTGGGGTGCTTCGAAATTCGTGAGCCGGACTATTCGACAGTCAGCAGCGGTCCGTGGCCGGTGTATAAATAGGAGTCGAGCAAGGAGATGTTGTCCTGAGCAGGAAGAAGAGAGATAAACGCGGAACGAAGAGTCGCGAGCTTATCGTTAGAGCGCGTGCTGGTCGGTAGGCTCGATTACGATTAAGTAATAACGACGCGAGACAACACGCGGGCTGATACAGTCGCATAGTAACGTTCGCCGGCGTCGAACGCGCGCGGCCACGATTCGAATTTCCCGCGTCTCGCAGGGAGCGCCAATCGCGGGGCAGGTTGCCCGTAGGCGCGTAACCGCCAATCGTTCGTGATGCTGCACACGAGGACGTTCGCCGTCGTCGCAGCGTCGCCTCTGCCCGTGGAAAATGTCCTGTCGAAATGGTTGCCCCGCGTGTTCGCCGGCCATCTTGTGTCCACGCGCTCCATCGGCGACCGTGCCCTTAACCATGGACAGATATCTCGCGAGGTCATGCTGCAGAACTACCAGAAGATGCGACAGAAGTACCAGTGTGAGTATTCGCTATGGCTGCGGCCATTTTTTGCTGCCTCTCCCTGTCCCACCCGCTGTTTTGACCGAGCGCCGTCTTCGTCGACCTCGTGGACGCTCTGCCGCGGCGGTTTGAGCTCGCGCATGCGCACTCACGGCTACGCCGACTTAATATTTTGAATCGATGCCAGTGGCGCGAGACCTTGATAGCGCGGAAATTATAATTGATGTGTCAATGAATCCCCCTTGTCGGGATCTATTCGATATGCGTTCAATCTTAAATCGACTGTCAAGCGATCATGTTTGCGTATCTGTTGCGCCACTGATACGGCATTGTCGTTTATCGCCTCGTTTTGGCGACTTCCCAAAGTTCTAACGCGATAGCTTCTATCTGTCCAATCGCGTTAATTTCTATGCTGTGTGTCACGACATTGTAATCTATAGTTCAAATGACCAATTTGCGAAATATTTGTCAACAACTTTTTTTGTTGGTCTTTTAAATGGAAAACTTGGTAACTTGTTTACTGTTCTGCCTTAATATCTACTTTTGATAATCGGTTATCTATGGATCACGGTATCTTGGGATAAAAATATCAGGTGTCATGATTATCATTCTAGGCGAGTGAAATGGAAAAGTTTGAAACTACTATTTTGGACTTGATTCAGAAAATATTAATGAAAGAAGAGAAAATGTCATGTGTTACCTAATTTGAAATTGAACAGGTAGACATGACAAGCAAGTATCTACATACGTGCGTGTAATTAATACAATTGAACAATACAACGAAGCGTATGAATAGGAAATACCAGGCGTTCTTGAATGAAATAATTAAAGGAAAGTTTGTATCGGAAATTTATATCTAGAGCTAATTAACAAGAGGGAGAGACGAGACTAACGGGCAAGCAGAAAAATCTAGGACGGTGAAAAGCATCTGGTATCTGGCATCTGTGGAACAAAACGGGAGCGCAGACTTATCGTGAATTGAAGTTGGAAGAATAGTACTACGCGTTATCCCGCTATGTTACTGAAAACTCCTCGTACGAGATCATGTGTGAAGTCACGTGTATACATGGTGGTCATGCTAACTTGTAACGGGTTACCGTTATCTCGTCAAATTTTGATGATATGAGAGGCTGTTTGGTGGCTGCTGGGAGACCAGAGGAAGATTTGGGGACTTTGGGAGTTTTTATTTTGGGGTTTGGAGATTTGGGGAATTTTGAAGTTTTGGAATGTTGGGATCTGGGGTTTTGGGATCTGGGGTTTTGGGATTTGGGGATTTGGGGATTTGGGGATTTGGGGATTTGGGGATTTGGGGATTTGGGGATTTGGGGATTTGGGGATTTGGGGATTTGGGGATTTGGGGATTTGGGGATTTGGGGATTTGGGGATTTGGGGATTTGGGGATTTGGGGATTTGGGGATTTGGGGATTTGGGGATTTGGGGATTTGGGGATTTGGGGATTTGGGGATTTGGGGATTTGGGGATTTGGGGATTTGGGGATTTGGGGATTTGGGGATTTGGGGATTTGGGGATTTGGGGATTTGGGGATTTGGGGATTTGGGGATTTGGGGATTTGGGGATTTGGGGATTTGGGGATTTGGGGATTTGGGGATTTGGGGATTTGGGGATTTGGGGATTTGGGGATTTGGGGATTTGGGGATTTGGGATTTGAGGATTTGGGGATTTGGGGATTTGGGTATTTGGGTGATTTGGAATTCTGGGTGATTTGAAATTTGGATGATTTGGAATTTGGGTGATTTGGAAGTTCGGTGATTTGGGATTTGGGTGATTTGGAAGTTGGGTGATTTGGGATTTGGGTGATTTGGGATTTGAGTGATTTGGGAGTTGGGTGTTTTGGGAGTTGGGTGCTTGGGGATTTGGGGATTCAAGGATTTGGGAATATAGGAATTTAGGGACATAGGGATTTGGGGATTTAGGAATTTGGGGATTTTGGAATTTGGGGATTTGGGAATTTGGGAATTTGGAAATTTGGGAATTTGGAAATTTGGGAATTTTGAAATTTGGGAATTTGGGAATTTGGGGATTTGGGAATTTAGATATTTAGGGATTTATGGATTTAGGGATTCAGGGATTTGGGGATTTAGGGATTTTGAGATGGTGGAATTTTAGGATTTAAGGATATTGAAACATTAGAACTTTAGAATACTTTAAGTTTGGTATTTTGGGATCTTAAAATCTCTAAAATCCTAAAAGTAAAATACTCTAAAAACCTAACCTAGACACTCCTACGCTTCCTCTAATTATATCGCCCTTTTCCCTAAATAAACCAACACAGCCCTCACAACATTCATCCTACAATTTCCTTGATAACTAACAATATCTCCCAAACATACTAATTACCAAATCTCCATCCCAGTACTCGAATTTCTCCTACAAAAAAGCGCGGGAAAATCTTTCAATTTGAAACATAAATTTAAGCAAACCGTAAACAAACCTTAAATGCATCAAATTAATTTGTACATCAAATATAAATTTGTTCAGTACAAGTTTTCTTTAATACTCAAAGTATTAATTCTTAAATTAAATTACCGTGTTACAAGTGAATGTTGGCACCCTGTATCGTGTTGTCCGTTGATCTTGATACCCGTATCGGATGTACATATGTACGTACATACTAAATACGGAAGAGGCAGAATAAAAAAAGTAAAAAAGAAAAGAGTACCGTCGGCCTGTTTTCAGATTACGCCACATTCGATGCGTATAGCGATAAAAGGAGCATAGACATTAACGAGCATGCAAATCGTAACAACGTCAAGCTTTTGATACATGCGTCTTTAATTATCTGCATGTAGACAATTGTAAATTTCTACTTTTATGCGAATGTCGTGTTTGTCTTGTTTCTATTTGCTAATATAAGCTAGAGCGAGGATCTTTATCGACTTCATGAATTATGTAAGAACTAGGAGCACGCAATCTGCATCTGTGACATTGACACTGATCAAATTTCTGTAATGTAAGGCATTCTTGATGCTTGCATCTGAAGATTAGAAGAGCATTTAATATAAAAGGGAAGGAAGGAATTTATAATTTTAGATGAATACGGAATGTATTGACTGTAGGTTAATTTATTCGATTGTTGGTTAATGGTGATGGAATCTTAACCGGTATCGTAATGGTTGTTAAATGTTATCATAGTGGCACAGTTTTGTCGGTAAAAATTTGAATGTAGAGATAAAAAGATGAAATATTTCTATGATTATGGCTGGGAATATTGATTACATGTTTGCGGAGAAAACGCTGATGTTTGTTTGGATTGGAATGCGTCTTTTCGTGCAAGAAAATTGTAATTATGTTTTTATGAGGGATTGTATGTTCTGATGTTTCTTGCAAGTTAAGGAATTTTATTTATGGAGTTTGGAATTTGGGAATTGTACAATTTTTGAGTTAGTATGTTCTCGGATTACTAATTTAGAAGTTACTAATTTTCAGATTTTCAGATTTTCAGATTTTCTAGTTTCAGATTTTCAAACTTTCAAGTTTTCAGATTTTCAAGTTTTCAGATTTTCAGATTTTTAGATTTTTAGATTTTTAGATTTTTAGATTTTTAGATTTTCAAATTTTTTAATTTTTAGATTTTCAGATTTTCAGATTTTCACATTTTTAGATTTTTAGATTTTTAGATTTTTAGATTTTTAGATTTTTAGATTTTTAGATTTTTAGATTTTTAGATTTTTAGATTTTTAGATTTTTAGATTTTTAGATTTTTAGATTTTTAGATTTTTAGATTTTTAGATTTTTAGATTTTTAGATTTTTAGATTTTTAGATTTTTAGATTTTTAGATTTTTAGATTTTTAGATTTTTAGATTTTTAGATTTTTAGATTTTCAAATTTACAGATTTACAAATTTTCAATTTCCAATATCCTATTTCCAGCGCTTCAAATTTCAAAATTTCTACATTCTCACCCTTACTAATTTTCAAATTATTAATTTTTAATAAAATTATTAATAAATTCACAAATTACTAAATTACCAAATCACCAAACTCCGAGACCCCTTACTTAAATTTTTTCACTTTAAAAAATTATAATATGAAATAATTTTGATGCAGCGAAAAAGCTTCCTCAAGATGTGAACCCAAAAGGAGTATTCGCCTGCAACGAACTGGACTTAAGGGAGGTTAACGTGTATGGATTCGATTATGATTACACGTTGGCTTGTTACAAACCATCCATGGACTACCTATTATACAACCTTGGCCGTGACATGCTCATTCAAAAGTACAAGGTATTTCATTCAAATTACTCATTTTTAATTAAACCGTCTAATTACCCATTTTTATTTTGACAAGTTGGGTTTTTATTATTTCCTGAGTGACTCATTTTCTTTTTTATTAATGTTTGTCATCATTTTAAATGACTTGTAATTAATCATTGATAATTTTTAATAATTTTTAAGTAGTAATTGATAGTTTCAAGTAACTCATAAATAATAATTGATAATTTCAAATAACTCATGAGTAATAATTGTTAATTTTAAATAATTTGTATGTGATAATAAATAATTTCATATAACTCATAATTAATAATTCATAATTTTAAATAACTCATGAGTAATAATTGTCAATTTTAAACAATTTGTAATTAATAATAAATAATTTCATGTAACTCATAATTAATAGTTGATAATTTTAAATAACCCATAAGTAATAATTGTTAATTTTAAACAATTTGAATTAATAATAATTAATTTCATATAACTCATAATTAATAATTGATAATTTTAAATAACTCATGATTAATAATTAATAATTTCAAACAACTCATAATTAAAAACTCCTATTTTCAAATCAGATGTAACTTAGGTTTCCTTCACTTAAAGAAGAAATTTAGTATATCACATTATTTTCATTTTATATAAATATACAATTAATTATTAATACAATTATTCAGTGTATCCAGTATACTCATCATATGAATGTACTTAATGCAATAATAAAACATACATAATTACATGAAATTAAATAAACAATTTCTTATAATATAATTCATCTTATATCGAACTAAAATGGACGCCATTTTATGCACACACAAAATGGCGGCAAAAACGTTAAAACGAGAACCGTCGATCGAAAGAAAATCTCGATATACACACGATCCGATAGAAACGAGTCGCCAAAGTTCCCCCGAAGCACGACGAAACTAATTCGGGCAAACGAGCGAACGAAACTTCGTAACTCGTTTCAGCTCGTCAACGGCGTTTTCTCGAAAATGAAACGACAATTACCACCCGAACGAGAATTTCAATTGAAACTTGACGCAAACTCGTTTAATCGGCTGTACAGTACCCGGAGGGAATCAGCAAGCTCGAGTACAAGAAGGATTTCGCCGTTCGTGGCCTCCATTATGACATCGAAAAGGGTTTACTCCTGAAACTCGACAGCTTTTTGCAAATTCAATTTGGCACCGTTTACCGCGGTTTACACCCACTACCCGACGACGAGGTACTCAGGCTCTACAAGAACAGGATAATACCGATCGCTTACGTAGAAGCACCCCATAAACATTCTCATGTAAGCATATTACAATGAAATCGATTTTTTAAAGCGACTTTTATTGGTTTACTTTCAATGGTTTTGTTCGAATGAATTGTACAAGTTCGTCGTTTTGAAATTTTAGAGAAGTATAATTTTAGAAACGTGGAATTTGTGGAGGGTTGAATTGTTTAGGGATCCTTCAGGCTCTGTGATTTTCTAATTTTATACATTTGTATATTTTTGAGTTCTTGTATTTTTAATTTTGATGCAGATTCTGACTTTTTGAAATTTTTTAATTGTCAAGTTTTGAGATCCCCAAATTTTCATATCTCCACATTTTCACCCTCCAAAATATCAAATTTGCAAGTTCTCAAGTTCATAAATTCTTGAATCTCCAAATTGACAAATTTTGAATTTCCAAATTTCCAACCGATGAAATTTTTTAATTCCCAAATTCTAAATTTGGAAATTCCAAAATTCTAAAGTGCCAAATTCTCAAATCCCCAAATTTGGAAATTTCCAAAATTCTAAAGTACCAAATCTCCAAATCCTCAAATTTGGAAATTTCCAAAATTCTAAAGTGCCAAATTCTCAAATCCCCAAATTTGGAAATTTCCAAAATTCTAAAGTACCAAATCTCCAAATCCTCAAATTTGGAGATTTCCAAAATCCTAAAGTGTCAAATTCTCCAATTCCCAAATTTGGAAATTTCCAAAATTCCAAAGTGCCAAATTCTCAAATCCCCAAATTTGGAAATTTCCAAAATTCCAAAGTGCCAAATCTCCAAATCCTCAAATTTGGAGATTTCCAAAATTCTAAAGTGTCAAATTCTCCAATTCCCAAATTTGGAAATTTCCAAAATTCCAAAGTGCCAAATTCTCAAATCCCCAAATTTGGAAATTTCCAAAATTCCGAAGTGCCAATTCTCCAAATCCCCAAATTTAGAAATTTCTAAAATTCCAAAGTGCCAAATTCTCAAATCCCCAAATTTGGAAATTTCCAAAATTCTAAAGTGCCAAATTTTCAAATCCCCAAATTTGCAAATTTCCAAAATTCTAAAGTGCCAAATTCTCAAATCCCAAATTTGGAAATTTCCATAATTCTAAAATGCCAAATTTTCAAATCCCCAAACCTTGAAATTTCCAAAATTCTAAAATTTCAAATCTCTAAATCCCCAAATTTTGAAATTTCCAAAATTCTAAAATCCCAAATGTCCCAAAAATCCAACGAGATATTTGCCCTCTTTTCTCTCCCATAGAAGAATTAAAGAGGCCAAACATTTACTGTAATTTACGTCTTTTCTCTATTTGTTTGCATGCTTCAACATGTGTGTTTTTCATAACGGATATTTTGCAACATGAAATACAGAAAGTAAGTATAAAATTGAGACTCTGTGTTCTTATACATACGTACGTATATGTGTGTGTATTTGTGTACAGTTAATGCATAAAGAATGTTCTTTTTTAGGATACTCCACATCGAACGAAAATGGTGCAATTAGCTGATTTATTCTCGGTGCCCGAAATGTGTCTTCTGTGCAACGTCACGGAATACTTTCTTAGGAACCATATCGATTATCATCCTGAAATACTTTTTAGAGATGTGAAGGTGAGATCTAATTTACAAATTTAATGAATGAAGACATAAATAATGTAATGGAGATATAAATAAATAATAAAATATGTGTAATGTTCATTGTGACATCTGATGTGACTTTGTGACTTTGTGACTTTAAAAAAAACTTTAAAAAAGATAATTTAAATGTATCTATAATATTATACGTATAGTATTATACCAAATAGATATTTATTAATTTAGATATGTGTGAAATATGTTTATTAAAATTTGCAACTCTTCTTTTTAGAACTCCGTTCAGAGCTGCCACCCCATAATGCATGGAATGGTCGTACAAAATGTCTCCGACTATCTCGAACAAAACAAGGATCTAAAAAGGTTCTTCGACCGACTCAAAGCTGCCGAGAAAATGATGTTTTTAGTTACAAATAGTCCTTTCCACTTTGTGTACGTATAAGTATCAAAATTTTCCAAGTTCAAAATATTTGCATTAAAAATAATAGAACTCATTCTGAGACTCTGGATATACTCTGAAATTTACTCTGGATATACTCTGAATGTATATCAAATTGTAGATGGTTAAATATTTTATTATTTTACAGAGATACTGGAATGAGATTCCTAGTGGGAGATAACTGGAAAGATTATTTCGATGTGGTGATAGTTCAAGCGAGGAAGCCAAAATTTTTCACGGAGGAATCTCGACCTCTACGAATTTACGACGAAGTGAACCGAACACAGTTATGGGATCGAGTTACGAAACTAGAGAAGGGTGTTATTTATCTAGAAGTACGTACTATTTTTTCTAATAATAGTTAGTGCATACAATATTTTTATTTTTAATAATTTATTAATTATATAATTTTTTATATATTTGTATTTATTAATTTAAAGAGACATATGATTGATATTGATTTTGTAATTAGGGTACAGTTAAGCAACTGCAGGATATGACCGGTTGGCGAGGGCAACATGTATTGTACTTTGGAGATCACCCTTACAGCGACTTAGCTGACGTAACTTTGGAACATGGCTGGCGAACTGGTGCCATAATCAAAGAATTAACGGTAAAATTTTTAAATTATTGCTTTTTAAATTAAAGTCTGTCATTCTTTATTATATAGTATATAAACTCTTTCATTTATATCCAATTTTGTATTATAAAATTTAACATATAATTCTTGTTACTCTTAATCTGATAAATTCTTTTTGAAACTAGTCAAACTTAACTTTTAAACAAGTATAATTTATAAAATAAATCTTCAGTTACAATGTGTGACAGATTAATGCTTAAACTTGTTTGAAAAGTTTCAAATGAAAATTATTTATTGAATTCGTTGTTTAAAATATTTAAAATATTATTCTTGTTAGTTGTAATTTGATAAATTCTTTTTTAAACTATTTAAATTAAACTTTTGAACAATAAACATAATTTATAAAATATATCTTCAGTTACAAAGTGTGACAGATTATGATTCTCGTTTGAAACAAGATTATGAAACTTGATTACACATCATAAGACTTGATTATGAAACTTGTCTAAAAAATTTCAATGAAAATAACTTGTTTAAATCATTGTTTAACAGCACGAGATAGCAACACTGAACAACCCAAAGTTCAAAGAGAACGCGAACTGGCTACAAATGTTGACTGGTTTGATCGAGGATCATCAGGATTACACAGGACCGGATGTGCAAGGTGTATTGGACGAATGGATCAAGGAACGGGATCAACTGAGAAACGAAATAAAACGAGTGTTTAATAAACAATTTGGATCTGTATTCAGAACGTATCATAATCCTACATACTTTTCGAGACGGCTTTTTAGGTTCGCAGATATTTACATGAGCTCGATTACAAATTTATTAGAATACTCAACCAGCCATACGTTTTATCCGAGAAGAGGCGTGATGCCGCACGAATATACAAGTTACTTCGTATAATGTATAGTTCTAGGTTTAAGCTTGTAACTAGATTTATATTTTGTGTTTTTGGAACGCGTTAAAATCAAAAACTGCGTCTACACATATACTGTATACTGTGTAACGTTATACTCATAGGTTATGAGATTTATTTAAACAAAAATTATGTGACAATTGTAGACATAGGTCCATGTAAATAACTCTGATCATACACTGTCAAAATAATACCAAAAGAATTTGTGATCTTCTATCACTTAAATAGCTGTTCATTTCAGTAAAAAAATCAGACAGAATATTTTATTGTAAAATAATTGTAAAAATCAAGTTGTAAAACACTGTTGTATGCCTTTTAATTTTGTTGTATAGTGTAGACGCAGAAAAAATGGAGCAACAATCAGAAATGACCCAATTAAAATTTCCCCAAAATAGCGCATTTTCAATTTATGTAAATAAAAAGAGAATGTTAGACTGTTTAACGTATTAGTAAATATTTGCAGTGATATTTTGTTCAGGATATTTTATTGTAGATAAAATTTATGTTTATTTGTTTAACTCTGTCGTTACGGGAGCGTATATGTACGTCCTTTAGAAACAGATGAATATTTACGTATACGTACGCTCTTGAAGAACGTACTGTTGATTTTTAAGATCAAACTAGTATTAATTGTTAACTTAGAGAAAATGTTTATCAAGTGTTCGAAATTCTTTGATTTTTATGGAGCTTGGATGTCGTGTGACAGGGGCGGATGCAGAGGGGCAATGGAAGCATCTTTCAAAAAATTATAAAAGATTTTAAAAATTCATTTATACTCATAGTTTTTGTAATTTTGTATTACAATTTGGTTTAATTATTAATTATACAACATTTCAAATTTACTGGTCAAAAATTACTTTCTCAATTTATTTATTTTTATTTTAAATATGGATTAAAAATTATACATTTATGATAATTGGTTAAATGAGTTTGAAATTTTATATAGTTAATATTCAATTCATATTGTAAAATTATACCTTTTGTTGGTATTTTAATTTTGTTAAATTTGAATACATTTTTTATAATTTTAAATTACAATTACTTTTAAGTTACAATTTTTGCTTTTGAATTATGTTGACAATTTCAGATCATGAAAGAAGATATAAAAATATACTTTCATATATCTTGCCTTCCTCCCTGCCCCCATGATCTAAATCCGCCCCTATAGTACATATCTGAAAAAATATTCCACGTGTATTTTTTTAGCGGCAAAGGTTCGTATAATTCTCGTCCAAATATAACATGATTGTAAACGAGATCTATAAACTGAGATACAATGCTCCAGATATAGCGAGACCTGAAACTTCTTCAGGAATCAAAGTATACACGCCAAAATAGTTTAGAATAAGGCTTGAAACTTCGACCAGGACGTATGAAAAAAATGTAGTGCCAAAATAAAACATATGATCCTGGGAGTTTAAGCGCTGACTTGACAATAATTCACAATCTCGCTATATCTCGACTATACCCAACGATCCATATTTACAACCACGTTATATTTCATCAAAAACCATATCTAACGAGTGAAAAGTTGGAGAAAAAATATCTCCAATGTTATAAAAATGCTTCCAGAATATACGTACAAATGATACAAATATGTATGTATAAATTATTCAAATATATTTAAACAAATGTTAGAGATACAGTATTTACATAAAATTCTCTCACACTCATGCAAACGCAACACGCACACTGTCCTATGTTTACCATCATCCAATACAGTCCACAGCGTGGTGATTATACCGCATTATTCGTACCTAAATAGCGAGACTGTACTCGATGACAATGATCGCAAATGACTTTCGTTATATTTATAATTCGATCTAATTCATCGTACAATTTCAAGCTAAACTCAATGATCCACAGCCCGCCGTAACACTCAATGGCAGTGTCACCGCCATACATCCTACGGTTTGTTTGCTAAATTGTAAGAATTTAAGTTACGACTTCCGTGCCGTGTATCGAAATTTATACAAAAAAATTATGCGCGTCATTGGAAATCGTTTGTTTACGTTCAGTCTGCATCAACTATGTTTTTCCGTTTAATTCTTCTCAGTAAGTCAATTGAAATTATGATCATTTGATACAAATTATTAGAAATATGTGTACACTGGTGGAGTTTTTCCTGAGGAACAATGGAGATGTAGAGGAAGAAGCACAAAGCTAACATTGCAATAATATAAGCCTTGTGGGAAGAAGACCCACTAGCTATAATACTCAAATCTCAGTGACCACTTTTTATGTTTAATCAGATCAATTTATTATTGTGGCAATATAACACGAGAGTATATACTGCGAGGCGATACAACGAAATGACTTTTGTGATAACTTTTGAGTATTATGGTTAGTGTTGGGGCTTTTCCCTACGTCGCCATTTTTTCCTGGGGGAAGTGAAAAATGCTCCCCATCGTACATTCGAATGCAACAGATTTCTCTTCGTTAAAAATAAGTCTAAGAGACTTCTACTCGTGACATTACTTAGCCTAAAATTTCCTTTCTCGAAGGACAATTAGAACAGGTGGTATGACACTTTCTCCTACACCTTCTTTTAATTAAGGAAAATCTAAGTTGCACGCGATCATACCGATTATGTACACTATGTATACTTTCCTGAAAAATATTTCTGTTGTATTCAAAAGTACAAAGACCAAAAATAGATTTTAAATATGTTCATTGTGAATGCTTGCTTTGTAATCCTGACAAATATTGCACATGACTCAGATTGATGAAATAAATATTAATAAATATCATAAATATTATTTGTATTTATTTCATGCATTCAGATATCCAGGACTATTAGACTCCGGGAAACATTAAGAAACAAACACAATATCAGAAGAGTTATTTGGGTTTAAACCTAATGAAAAATGAAAACTCTAACCTATAATCTTTAAAAACATAATCTGTCCAATATTACACTTCTTGAACCTTTTCCTTTGTATCTTCCAATACAACAGAAATACTGTAATACTCTATTTTACGTGTCTCTGTATATAAAATTTCAATAGTCACATTATCAAGTTGCCAACTGAAAAATAATAAGATCATAACCTCGTTCGCTCAATACAATTTCTAATAATGTATGTAAGATACATTTCAGTTATTTATTGGTCTCTCTTGACTTACTGATTGATTGACAGTCTTTTAATTCCATGCAGATGCAAGACGTATGACTACCGACGAGGTAGATTAGCAAAATGAAATTCCAGCTAAGGTAGCAAAAATCGTGTCACATACGAAGCGACACTATGAAAATTTCGGAATTTAACTTGGGCTAATTGCCGTGAAGATGAAGAGATGGCTAATTGAAATGGAACTTAAACTGGAAGGGAGAACCATGGAAGTGATGGAATTCTTGGAAGGGATTGAAACCTTGCGGATGCTTCCCCGATTCAGGATCTAACGGATCTTCTCCTTGGTCGAATTTTGCCCTTTTCTCATCGTCAGTCAATACTTCTTTGGCAGCTGCAATGTCGATAAATCTTTTCTCTGCACGTTTCTTTTCCTCTCCCTCCTGAAAGTTATCAGGATGCCACTTTTGTGCGGCCTTTCGGTACGCTTTAATAATATCACGTTTCGATGCTGTCCTTGGCACACCTAGGATTTTATAATAATCTCGCGACTCTGAAAGTTTTTGTCGTTGTTGTGCTTTGTGGAGACCTTGTTTGGCCCTTTGTAGGCTTGGATCAATTTCCAATGCTTCTTTGAAATCTCTTATTGCTTTTTAAAAGAGAGGAAACAATGTTATCATATTGTATTAATCATAAAAATATCAGTGATACTTGCAATGTGAAATATGTAACTTACCATCGTCGAACATTTCGGCAGATAGATATGCTTCTGCACTATCACAATATACTCCTGGTTCCTTTCGTATTTTTAATGCCTCTTGACAATGTTTGATTGCTTGACTTGATTCTGTACTGCCAGTATAGCACTTACATAACAGTTGGTGAACAATAAAACGTACATTGGGTACATTTGGTTCCAGTTTAAGTACAGACTGTGCATTTTCTATACACCTGTCATAATCTCTTGCGTCTTCAGATGACTGTGCATCTGTTAACAGTTTTGCTATTTTTTTAACTTTCTTGTAAAGTGCAAAACATTTTGGATGATCTGGATCAAGTTTCAAACATTCTCGAATTTCCCTAAATAATTAAGACATCAGTTATATGATTTGTAATATAAAATCAACTGTTTTTTATTTTACTGCTACTTACTTTAATGATTCATCTACTTGTCCAATGCGATATTGTAAAGTTGCTAACTTTAAAAATCCCTGCGTATTGTCAGATTGTAATTTAGTGGTAGAACGAATATCAGAGATGGCACTAACATAATTTTCAAGTGCTTCATAACATTCGGCTCTTTTTTCTCTTAACTCAGCCGACCATGGACACACTTCAATAATTTTAGTAAGTAGTTGTGCAGCTGTTGTGTAATCCTTGTTTTTCATTAATCTGTCTACAAGTTTTAAATCTTCTTCTACAGGTGCTATTTTATACAAAGAATTTAAGGCATCTGTATTATATGGTTCAACTGCTAGCTACAAAATATAAAAAAGAATAGATTTCAACCTGATGAATTTATTTATTAACAATTTAATTCTTTGCACAATACAGAACTAAACTTACCACATCTCGAAAATCAGCATCTGCTCTGCTGAATTCAGCTTGTTTAAGCAATACATTGCCACGTTGTAATCTTGCAGATGTAAAATCAGGCTTCAACTCCAAAACTTTGTCAAGATCAAGAAGTGCAAATTTAGCTTTACCTAATGCTAGATATACAGTACCCCTCTTATAATATGTCAAATAATTATTCGGATCTCCCTCTGAAATGATCAATAAAATATGTACAATTTAATTATAATAAAATTCGATAATAATTTTTGAACACTCGGTATTAAAATGAATTACCAAAAGAAATGATTACAAACAATACTTACCAATAGCAGCATGATAATGTGACAATGCATCTTGCAACTGTCCCTTTGCCAAAAATTCTCTACCTAATTCCAAATGTCTGTCAATTTCTAACTGTGAAACACTTCCAACCACTGGAATACAAACATAATGAATATTACACTATAAAATAATAATTATATAAAACATATTACAGGTTAGAATTATTTACCATCCAAAGACAGATCTAATAAGACCAATAATATACCGCAGTGGTACATGACTGAACAAATGTTTGAAACACTGTGATATGAACGCTTCAATAAATAAGAAAACCGACCTGCTGGTTTTAGAAACCACTACTTAACCACCCGATAACGCAAAATTGTTCAGCCACGCCGCCATTGCGATCGTGGTCTTACACGATTGGTCCAAGTTGGTCCAACAAAATTGACCTACCATCAGCGCCCACAATGCGCTATAAAAATTTAGACAATTGTATCTTAACAAAAGATCATTTAAATTATTCGATTATGCACTTGATACAAAATAATCAAATCACAATTTTAATTATTATTATCATATATAAATTCTCGTGTATACCATAACGAAGAGTTTAATCCATTCCAAAACATTAGTTATTCAAAACATACTGAATATGGTATAACAGTATATCAAGTATTAACATATAATTAACAATTCCGTTTAAAGAACTAGATTACTCCCATTATTAATATTATTTTTCCATTTTTTAATTCGGTAGATAATTTTCAACATTGCATTCCTTAGCATGTAACTGCTTACTAGCGATCGCTTACGAGCGGTTATTTATCTAGCGTCTCGATATCAAAGCAGTTATACTGTTGTGATTGAAAACATTACATAAGAGTTACAAATACTTTTATTTACAAACTTGCAAATCGTTTAAAAATATCTTATAAATGTTTTTAAAGCTGTATAATGTAATTATGGTACTCTGCAAAGCAGATATCCAAACAAAGACCCGGTTTATCCGGGCACGCCGGACAATAAAATTGCCCCTCCTTCCTCAGCCCTTTCGAATAACAAACTCTGCACCTTTTCCGTATTTTCTTCCCTCCCTCGTGCCCAGACATTCTCGGTAAATGTACATTCTGTCCCGCTGGTTTGGGTATCACATCCAGACGCGGTCTATTCTTATAAATTAATTTATCAATGACAGCTTCCCGAAATTTCAGCAACGTCATTTTCGTCCTCGTGTGCTTCCTGTACAATAAATATGCATTGTTCAGCATAACGTGAAACATATGGAGACCAATCTTGACCCGCCACCGAACCGTTTTCCTCTCGCACGCATAGTACCCTAAGAACTGATCCGCTCGCTCAGTTCCGTTCATGTACTTATTGTATTTCTCTACCAGCTCCGGTTTTTGTACATGTTTACCAGATTTCGATTGTACTTTCACGATGTCCGCTTTGTACTCGGATGAAATCATCAGTGCATCTCGTTTGTCACGCCACTTTAGGACGCACACACCTTCAGGGGTGTAGCGAGCGTCCACTTCGCCCCTTCCAATCGTCTTATTCACAAGATCGGAAGGACTCTTACAGTTCGGTCTGAGAATACCCGTACAGTACGTCTTGTACTGCAACAGCTCCCTAACTAACGGTACATTCGTATAAAAATTGTACAAAAACAAGGAATGTCCCACTTGCAGAAAGTCCGCGAGCAGCGTTTTAACAATTCTCTCTGCGTGACCATCAAGGTCTCGATCACAATCGATTAGGGTTCTAAGTACGACACCATCGGGCTCGGTGAGCATGTAAAATTTAACTCTTTTGCGTGATTTACTTCTTACGTTCGGGTGAGAATACAACATGCATTCGTCCAGGGTCAAGTTTTTGTTCGGGTAATATATCTCTCGCATGGTATCGTTGAAATAATTGAGAAGCGGTTGGACCTTGTTCAAAGGATCCGAAGCTCCCGTTTCCGCGCTCGTGCAAAAATGCAGGGAACATAAAATACTTTGAAACTTGTCGCGTGGCATCGCGTTCGAAAATGGCGGAAAAACGTACAAGTCATTCTTGGTCCAGTAATGTGCGAAGGAGGGTGCCTGTACGTTCGCTGCTAGAAATATTAGCCCCAGAAAGACTTCCAGATCCTCTCTCGTTATGTCCCTGAAGTTCTTCATCCGTGATTTGGACGGACTTCCGGACCGCAGTTTGTGGCCCTGAATATTCGTTTCGCGTAATACTAAATCGAAGAACTTGTCGTTGGCGAGCAGGAAGAAATAATCGATGGGTTCGTCGGAAGATGTGGATGTTATTAGACCGGGGTTCCCCGTGAACGGGACATTAGAAGTTATGGGCCGTGTTGTGTTCCATGTGACCGAGGTTCCCGGTTCAGGCGTAGACGAAGCAGAGCGGGAGAGCACCGACTCCTGATCGCTTTCTTCGCTCTCCTCAGACATGTCAGTTGAGGAAATATCAAAATCGAAGTCCGAATTGTCGCTCTCGGTGTCCAATAGGACGTTCACGATCGTCTCGTCTAATAGCATGTATCGTTCATTGTCGGGTTTCAATTTTTTGATCGTCGACGTTGACGGTTGAAGGTCGAACGATGCGTCGATGTCCTCGGATGTTTTTCTTCTTGGCATGACTGCAAAATAAGATCTGTATTCCAAAGACACGTTCATAAACTCGAGATTTTAATAAACCAATGTTCTTCAATTTACAAATTTTTCACAAAGTTACTTATTACTATTATTAAAAATTACTATTACATTTTAGTAGTACGTGGTATTTAGTGATACCTTGATATTTTACTCAACAACGAAAATTAACGAAGCAATTAATATTTGTATAATGCTAATAAAAGTGGAACAAATGTATTCGTAATTAGAAATTCAGACACTCATTGTCAGTCACGAAATCCGTAAATATAAACGAAAACAACTTCCAACGATTTTACATTTCATATCCTTTTAAAATCATGTTAAATCAAAAATTTGAATAGGAACCGATAAGAAACAGTTTAGAGTACGAAAATAGTTGCAACTTACCTTTAAACGAACAAAAAGCAGCAGTTTTATAAAAGATCTCTGAAAATTGCGCTTCAGCGTGCTGTTAATTTGTATACAACGCGAATGCAAGGAAAATTCTTTTCCTCTTGCCACATTTCTTATAACAGGACGCATGACGTGAACGCCACGTCATCCGCCATAGAATAGAACCTCTACGTGACGTTCACGTACACGTCACCCGTAATGAATGTTAATCGTACGATGGGAGACCGGGCTAGGTTCATTGTTACTCGAATTCGGAACTTTTCGGAGACGTTCGCGCTTTGTCGGAGGCGGTCGGATATGGTCGAGTACGCTCAACGGCAAATCTAGTTACTCTAGGGAAAATGGCAGTTAAAGAGGTCATCAACCATCAGCAGGGATTATACCTAATCTACAACAGGCTTCGTTTCTTGAAATTGATAAATGATAACATTTTTACATGCGTACTTATTTTATTGCGTGCTTTACAGTTCAAAAAAGTGTTCTAATTACATCAGAAGTAATTATAGTTTTTTATAGTTGTATTTTACATTGAAATTTACATTCATAGTTAAAGAAATAATGTTGAATATTAACAGTGATAATTATGTTAAAAAAATTGATAGAATTTTTGAAGTACCATTCTTGTGTGTATTTTAAAATTCAAATTTTCGCGCGCTATCTGTAAAAGAGGCTTGTGCCATCTGTTAGTCAAGTGTGGAAGTATGGAAACAAAAAATTTAATTTATTATAATATACATTTCGAAGTTAATTAGTCTTACCGATGTAATTTGATGTATATTATTAAGCCAATAAAATCAGTGTTTGAATTTTTTCAAAATGGAACACGTGGCGCCATCTAGTGGCAGTATGTGGGAACTAACGAACCACCTGTTTCAAAAGTGTGTAGTTCACCCTGTTCGCCGGAGAGATGGCGCTACTTGTTCCATTTTTTTTTTAAATTCGATTTATATTGGTTTTATTGATTAATATTCTATATATTTACTATGTATTTATTAATATTGATCTTATACTGCTTGCAAGATATTCTGTGGGTTCGAAAATGCGTTCTTATGTGTTCAGAACAATTTCCACACTATACTGTATCTCGTCGGTGATGTAGAAAATGACAGAACGGCAAAAAATTTCCTTTCAAGTCAAAAATAATTTTTACAGATATCTCCTTTTGCAAAATTTTGTCAATATTGGCACACTACGGTTTTCTGAAGCTTCAGTGAACAATACTTTTACAATAAATTTGAAAATTAAAAAGATTTCAATGGACCTAAAAATGCCTAGCCATCTAGCGGTGGAAGGTAACAACTAATAAAACTAACTCAAATATTTTATAATCATAAAAAATAATATTATATAGATTTATTCAGCAATGATAAAAAATTGAAAAATTTAAAAAGTATAAAAGATTATGCATTATTTGTGAGAAGGAGTTAAAATGGTATCATATCTTAAAATATCTTGTATTTTAATGTAAAATACAGGGTGAAAGGAAAAATACTCTAACACTGCATAATCTTTTCCTTCTTTATTATACGGCTCATTTTATAGAATTCTCCTGTCACTTTGCATAATACTATAAATAAACGAATGAATCACTAAATGAATGAATAAACATTTAAATAATATATGTGATCCATCGTCTCTTATGAGGTATTTGTAACAATATTGACACTCTACATCATTCTTCACAGAACACACATGTTGCTTTTTTATCTAAGCACAAGGATGCATATATGATTCCCATAATGCAATCGTTAACTTATTGCTAATGAACGACAAAGTGTATACATATTATGTATGTATATGTATATTTATATATTATGTATTATACACTTTATAAGGTTTAAGTTGACTTCCTCATTGAAATTTCAGACACTTTATTTTTATTGATTCTTTCATTAGCCGTACGACGTACAGTTGTTTTGCGAAATTTTGTTCCTACTTTTCTCGCTTATTTTTTCCTCGGTTCACCTAATGTAGCGTGTAAATGTGCAATTACTAATTAAGAGACCGACAGAATGGTACGTTCACCGTTCCATTTCTTTCCTCTTTCACACTTTTTTCTTTTTTTTTTGCCATTTGCTCGCCATCTCAGTGAAGTAAGATATATAGCAGTATCATTAGAGTTACACAAGTGAATGATACACGACGACGAGCGTCATTCATCGCAGAAAAAGTAAAACACAGCCATTTGAGACTCGTGCCGGAAGCTGTACGCGCTTCCTACCAAAGGCTTGCTCTTTCCTTCGTTTTTTTGTTATAAATACAACTTTTGTCTGCGTTCTCGATTCGACGACAAGCGACGCTTCTCGATGAAATAACATTCATAAAAGTTCAGAAGACATTTTTTCTTTTTTGCCATCCCTCGAATTTGTCAGCCTACGCGTGTGCTCTTCCCATCACGTCTCTCCCTCACACACACACTCACACACTCACACACATACGATTATTCAATGCTTTGTTGTTACTCTTTTTTCCTCTCCGAGTATTAACTTCATTCTTTTCATAACCCTTTAGCTACCAAGATTATAGTGGCTTCTCTGAGCGGCTTTCTGAGACGAAAAGACACTATAACTGCATTAATCTTTTTCACTCTTCATGCTCAATTATCTTCTAACGTTTATCAAGGAAAATTCTATGCATTTAATGATTAAAACTTACAACGATTTTTCATAAATTAATACCTTCGAAAGAACCTTGGAAATTACGTTTTTAAAACAATCTGCATTAAAAGGGTACTAAAATATCTCGTACGAAGTGCGATGTGGTAACTTTTAAGTGTTGATCATTACATTTTCCCTAGCAAAGCTCTTACAGCACGAGACATTTTCGTATTTAATAAAATTTTCCAGAATAAACGTTTACATGGTCTTTCCTTAGGGAACACTTCCGTTGTACAACCAATTACATAGTTTGTAATTACAAAAAGATCGCAGCTAAAGGGTTAAACGTTGCTCAAAGTAGATACGCGTACAATTTGTCTGTCTCTCGCAAAGAGCAACACGAACAGCGTACAGAAAATATTTGAAACATGAACAAGATGAAAGAAATTAAAATGAAACTATGATCTACAGCACGCGATGGCAGTCGTGTTTGGCGGCGTGGTCGCGTGCCTAAGATATTTTCGTGACACACTTGTCGCGTGTCTTACATAAAATAAATATGGCTTACAAATGTTTATCTATATCTCTCGCTCTCTCTTTCGCTCGCTCTCTCTTGTATGTGTGCTTTGTAATTGCGCATTCTCATTCGTAATAATGATTGCAGTCACAGTCAAACGCCTTTGTTTCTTCATCATTTTTTTTACACAATATGCAATGAATTACTATTCGTAGCCCCTCTCTTCTCTTCTTTCTTCGCACTACACTTTTAATTCATCTTTGTCTAATCATTTCACTCTCTGAGTAGATCCACAAATGTTTCCTAAGGCTGCTCGTCCGATATACATTAGAGGACTAAACATAACGTTAAAAAAAGGTACTTGTACAAATACACGACTGTCCTTTTTTCCTTGTGTTCTTCTTCGAGAGCATTAAACGTAAAAAATAAATACTTAATAAATAGTGTCGTTTATTACATTACTTTTCTTTTTTCCCTTCGTTTTCCTAAAGACGCTAATTTACGCTCTAAATCATAATACCACGTACTCGAAGAATTTACACGTGTACAAGTTACGAAACGGTGGACATTTGACTATCGCACAAAAATATTTGTCAATTTTTATTTTACTTTTATTTTTATATATGAAACGAATACGATCGTTAACACGTTAAATGCCGCGCATAGTACGATTCGTATGAGCATTTTTTTAATTTAACGCCATATTGGAATTCCTACGCGAGAAGCCTCGCCTCGTTTTCTAAATTTTATGCTACATTATTTATACACGAAAGAATGGAAATTTCAATGTAACTAATCTACTGTATTCATGCAATCTGGAATTTTAATTTTGTCAATTACACTTAATCTAGACGGTTCACCGGTGTCCACGGCATTGAACGTGTTAAAAATAAAATAAACATGTAATCAATGATATCGCGATTGTTTGACGACCAACGCTGTCACGTATAAAAATATTTATAACTAGAAGAGAAATAAGTATGAAAATACTTTCGCGTATAGTTGTTAACTGCATAATCTCTGTCCACCACGTTACTCGTAAATGAACGCATTTACTTCCAACTGCACAAAGACTAATAACTTACACTGACGCGTCATATGTATTCGTTGCCTGAGTGAACGATTGGACAATAGAATCCGGAATTTTGTCAAAAATACGCGTACTTAACACGGAACCATCCCGGCAGAAAAATAACGGCTGACTTCCGTGACCGAAGCGAATGAAAAATAAAAAAAAAAAAAAGAAAAAACGAAAATATAAAATTCGGGATAATAATGTCCAAAAGTCACCTGATTCTTTTTTCCTATTATAATAAAATAACGCAACGCAATTTTGCGCGTATAATATACAGTACCACCTAGGAGATGGGATAATAATGTCCAAAAGTCACCTGATTCTTTTTTCCTATTATAATAAAATAACGCAACGCAATTTTGCGCGTATAATATACAGTACCACCTAGGAGATACATTGTTCGAAAAAAAAAGGACTCAAGTAAATAATAACAAATAAGAGTGGTACTAGTAGTAGTAATAATTAATAGTAGTAGTAGTAGCACTAGTAGCGGTAGTAGTAGTAACAGTATTACGGCAATGACCTATTTTATCCTCTTAACAGACTAAGGTTCGAACTGAACGATTAAATTGTGCCGTAAGTAAAAATTGTACACTATATTTATAGAACGGAAAAGTGGTCGAATCACTTTTCGTTGTAGGTTATGTTTGTTTTGTAATGTTCTTGGCAGGGCCTCCGAGTGGACATAACGGACTCGACGATTCGAAAGAAATCATATTAGAATTCGAAATCACACGCACCATATATAGTCGGAAGCCAACAATTATTATTCGTTAACGCTATCTGAAAGTTCTAGTTGAAATTAATTATTTTTCCCCCTCGGACGAGGGGGCCATTCACACCCTTGGTCCACGGTCACACGGCATACGATTCACGCACGCGATTGCACTATAAATCTATTAATATAACAGGTATAAGTATGACATGTGTAAAAATCCTGTCAGTTGTCACGCAAAAAGTTGAATTTGTACTTTTTCTCGCATAGATTAGGTAAGAATCCGACATTTTCTTTTTTTTTTTCGTTTCGTTTCTTTTCTTTTTCTTCTTTCTTTCTTTGCACGAAAAGATATCGACATTCTATAAAGCCCTACCAACATCATCAACCAGTAATGACGCGTTTTGTCGTTATCATCTATCGTTTAATGCGCATTTTTTATTTATTTATTTATCCGTTTCTTTTTCTTTTTTTTTTTTTCTTTTAAGTAGAAACAATGCCCCAAAAAACGTGTTTTCAGGACCGTGTTAAGAGCTAGCGTTCAGCCCTCCCCGATCGGACAACAGCCACGTTATTGTTTGATGTTATTACTTTTAACGACTTTTAATATTCCCGTTCCCGGCTCAAACAAACTCGAGTTTGACGCATTCCTGACATTCAATACCGTTTAATTCGTACATTTAACATTTTGTATCTCGTTAAATTGTTCATTTATCAATTCGCATGGAAATTGAATGTCACAAGATCGTTCGATATCACAGTCGTTTTTCAATTATTTTAACGTTTATGTATTTTACGAATATCACGTGGCGTGCATGCATACATACGTAACCAGATATGTATGCATACACGCGTGCATATATTTATTATATGTAGCGTTATCGTACTGATAAATACAGTTATAAAATATGAGTGCGTCCTTAATGCTTCCTTATTTCAAAGGGCTTGCTTTGTTTTTGTATAGTTTGCTTTTATTCCCCCTGGTAAAGTTGAGCGAACTAACGATGTTAGTATCGTTGCTCTCCTTTTTTTGAAGTTCCCCTCTGTAACTGCAACCGTATTTTTGTTTCTTTGTTTACCCGTTTTTTAAATGTAAGCTTTCGTTCTCGAGCACTCGCATCCAGTATTGCAATCTTAAGGTTTCTTTTTATAACGCACCATACTGTTACAGGACAACGTCTTCGTTACGTTTAGAAATTCTAATTAGAGTACATTAAAACTCAGGTACCACCGTACCTGACATTCGCTGAAAACGTTCCAGCCTACTCTAAATACAATCATCAAAGTTTTAAATAAAATAATCCTTTCAAATTAAAGAGTTACAAGCAATAAGTTTACAGCATTCAATCTTTGAAAACGTACTTATCGTTAACAGGACGTGACAGAAATATTCTTCACATCACGAGAGAATCATAGAGCCAAACGAAGAATTTTCGTTCTACTGCGCATGTTTACTACGCACGTCTACTCTGATTGGTTCTAACACACTCCGTAGCCAAAGGTAACGCGCATGCGCTCCAACGTTTGCGATACTGAGCGCGCATATCGTAAGTCACTTGAGCGGTATACTTGCACAAATTTATTGAACTAATCTTCACGGCCATGTGGTCTTCATACGTCACAAGTATACTTGAAGAATGTCTGTGTAAGGTTCTTTTGTTTCTTACACATATCTGTGCTTTTATTCACGTTCAAGTACACTTGCGCACACATGACCTGCATAGTACAGAAGTTCATACATTAATGCCTGTACAGTCAAAATACTTGTGCAATATTATCATACACGCGTATACTGGTGCAATAAATTTTTGCAAATATGCGGCTGAAGTATGCGAATCGTTCCGAATTTTTGTCCCACCATAATGTCAAAAATTCGGAATCCTTATGTAATTACTTCTTTCCGTTATTAATATATTTCTGTTCTGAATTCTGAACTCAGCGTCGACATGCGATTACTATAGTTCTCTCGCGAAGCGAAGTATACAAACGAGATTTCTAAAAGTATTCTAAAGACGCAGCCTGTGTCGTTATCCTTCTCGTAATATCAAAGCTCTCGACTACTGGAAATTTTGCCAAAGTTTAGTCGATTAAACCATGATATCGCCGGCGCAATGTCGTCTGTGTCTGGGGACGGCAAAACAACAAAGTACCATTCGTCGCTGGACTATAGTAAATTTAAAACAGGAATCGTCATGAAAATCTATGGCGATGGCGATATGGCGTATCCGGGGCGCCTAGTCAAATATATGTGCGTATATATATATGTATATATATACAAATGCGTGTTTATGTATATACATATATATATGTTTATTTAAAAAAAAAAGAAGGAAAGAAACAGCGCCATTAATTCAAATGAAACTACACAAGTTACTGGCCATTGAGGCAAGAATAATAAAGCACTTGTGCATTTAAAGCTCTATGATTACTGGATACCTAGACGCCATGATTCTCGTAGATACGCCCACCACGTCCTTCAAAAAATTGAAATAATGAAGCCGCGATAAAGCTTCATAGTCTCGACAGGAGTTCTAAAAAATTTCACTAAGTTTCTCCACCTACTATGTTGTCGTGTCGTTCGAATGTCCTATCTAGACATTAAACGATTGCTCGACTTGTTTTCATTTAGTGATTATACTACTTGTGTTCTTCAACACGCACGGCAACGAAACTTTGGATGGATCTTATATCGTTATCTATAGTAGCTGACAAATCCCTACTGTCTCTTGGGGCTTTCCCATGAAATGAGATCATTATTTTACACGTGATTTCCCGTTTGCTGATGTTCTAACGATGGAATTGCACTTAGGATTTGTCAATCATGTCTCGTCGCACACGAATAAAAGTATTTATGGAATTGAATAAACACAATTAATTGGTTTTTCTTTAGTTTGAAAATTGTAGTGCACAGGCAGTTAGAGAACGTGATGTGTTTATACGTGATAACTGTTGTCTTTTTTTGTTGTTGTTGTGTATACGTTATTACGCGCGCAAAAGTACGTGCGTGTTGTTACACCATGTGTATGTCGTACGTGTCTTTCTTACATATATTTGAATTTATGTGTATAGTAGTAAAAGTGGAAATAAAGACGGTGGTGATGATTTACTTGCCCCACCAATCAGGACCGTTACTGCTAACGTTGTTACTAGAGTTGTACGATGAATTATAGTTATTTCCATAATTTCCATAACTTCCTGCAGGAGAGAACAATTCGTGCGTGTAAATATTTTCGAACATTGTTTATATAGCGAGATTAACGTATCAGTACCCGCATAGTTGCCAATCACTGATCGGTACTCACCTCCATAACCACCAGGTCTACCGGAGGAACCATTATTGCGAGCCGATCCAGAACTAGGTTGCTGACGATAATCTCTTGCACCGAATCCGCCACTAAATCGGCTTTTAGTACTACCAGCTCTTCGAGATCCACCTCCAGAATATCTTGCTTCGGCGAACATCTCATCCAACCAATGTGGAAGTTCTTGATTGGCTTCGAGCAAGAGAGATACCAAATCGCGCACCAAGTTAGAATTTTTATTATTGAAAAATGATGTTGCTAGACCTATTGTAAAAATTAAATTATATTATTACTGTTAAAAAAAATGTGATAATTCACTGCAAATAAACATAAGACTGAGAACAGACCTAAATTTCCCATACGGCCAGTACGACCAATCCGGTGAACATATTCTTCCACATCTCCCGGTAAGTCGAAGTTTATCACATGTTTTACATGTGGAATATCAAGTCCACGGGCAGCTACAGCAGTCGCAACAAGTATTGGTGCCTTACCAGCACGGAAACGGCGTAAAGCGTCTTCTCGTTCACGTTGTGTTCGGTCACCATGAATACTGGTAACCGGATAGCCCATCTGATGTAAATATTCTTCTAACATATCCGCGCCTTTTTTCGTTTCCACAAACACTAATGTTAATGATTCAGCCGCTGAAATTTTAAATAATTAAGTTAAAGGTCGCATAGCAAGATTCCACTGTGTATCGATTTAAATTTCTACAACTTACAAGGATCTGAGAAGTTGCTGGCCTGAAGAAGATCAAGCAAATAAGAACGCTTATCTTGTTCTTCCACCCATACAATCTTCTGAGTTATATTTTCAGATGTAGAACCAACACGGCCCACAGCTAAAAAGATATAATTACTCAAGAAGTCTCTTGCCAGCATCTGAATTTCTTTCGGGAACGTGGCTGAAAACATTAGAGTCTGTCTCTCTCCGGTAGGAGGCATAGTATCTTCTTGGACTATACGTCTTATCTGTGGTTCGAAACCCATATCCAACATACGATCTGCTTCATCCAAAACTAAGAATCTAAGAAAGAAAATAACCTCAGTATTTAGCTTAAATCAATGGCTGTATCGGTTATAAAATTTAATACTCACCGGCAGTTATGTAACCCAATTTTACCACGTCCCAGCATATCTACGAGACGTCCAGGTGTCGCTACGAGAAGATGGCAGCCACGGTCTAATTCTCGCATTTGATCTACAATGTTTGAACCACCATAGACAACAGCAGGACGCATACGCGATCTGTACGCGAATTTCCGTGCTTCGTCATATATTTGTGTGGCAAGCTCTCTTGTAGGTGCTAATACTAGACCTAACGGATATTGTTTACGCTTGCCAGAAGAAGTGCCATGTACTGGCGGTGGACGCGGCCCACTTTCATAAATCTGATTCAATATTGGCACTAAAAAGGCCGCTGTTTTACCGGACCCTGTTTGGGCACAGGCCATAACATCACGGCGTCCGATAATGATCGGTATCGCGTATTTCTGTACTGGTGTTGGTTTATCATAACCAGCCAGAGTAATGCTATTCTTTATTATCTCCGTCAGCTTAACTTCGTCAAACTGCAAGAAAGAAAAATAAATTGTACACAGGATGTTTTAAAATCTACACAGTCAAACTTCAACAGTATATAAGTACTCTATAAATAGAGTGAACATTTCAGTAATAATAAACATTTGTAGATGTATATGTATACTGCATTTTTTCTTATAGAATATGGTGGTGAAGCTTGACTGTTCAAGTCCGTATAGTCGTGATTTATTTTGAAACTTACAGATGTGATGTGAGGAGGTATATTATCTCCAGTAGCCTCAACTGGGATATCCTCATATTTACTAAAGTTAATGCCAGTATTGCCAGTACCGAATAACTCCACCTCCAGTCGTTCATCTCTGGTAGTGGGAATTGTCCAATCAATTTCAGAGTTTCTTCTGCCTCCTTCCCTATCGTCCTTCCATCTACCGCCGCTGCTCCCCATTCTGTGATCGTTTCTACTTTCTTGCCAGCGCTCATTTCTAGGTTCTTGCCAACGATCATTTCCGGAGCTAACCGGGCGATCCCGTTCTCGATCGGAATTGGGATATCTAAAGTCTCGTCCATTCTCTTGAGTAGGAGTACGTCTACTGCGTCCACCGAAGTTTCCAAAGTTCCCAAAATCGACATCGCGGGAGGTTCGTGCGTCTCTATAAGCTGAACCACCACCGCCGCCGCCGCCGCCACCACCTCCTCTACCCCTGTCGCGATCTCTTTCTCTCTCCCTTTCACGATCACGCTCTCCACCTCTGTCCCTGTCAGAAAATGGTCTCGAGTTGGAAGAAGAATGATGTTCTCCACCTGAAGGTGTGTTACCTATAAACAATTAATAATTCAACTTATCAAACATGTCTATTGACCTCATAACCTAAATACTTTCAAATGCAATTTCAAAGTAATTAATGTATTATTGCAAATCTGCTGGAAAGTTCTGCTGATACGTATGATATATACAGTTCATACTCACTAATGTGATATGTAATATGAACATTCATGTATGAATTTTAGAACTTACAAAGAATACGCTGGCATAGATAGATCTCATTAACTGACACACTTGCTCAAGTGTCATTTTTGATATATTAATTGAATATAATATTGCTGTTCTATATAACACAAACCTACAGCAAATACGTTACACGGTATTCATTGCTTATGTTATAGACTGTTCATATTACAAAGAGTAAGAAAGTTTAATGGTTATAAGACAGAATTCTCCAACGAACTGAATATATTGTAGTTTAATACTAACTTCCAGATTTGTTTCGCAGGTGCGGTGGTACGTAGCGACCCCCACTTGGTTGGCGGGAGCCCTGCAAGTCCAGACCAGCTAACTGAAACAGAAAACAGAACTATTTAAACTCACTGTTATTACAACATCAAAATATGAACATCATATAGAAAAAAACACATTGCCTATATATGGAAAATCATAATTATGAAACTGTAAGTTAAGCACATGGAAATATGCAGTTAATTTATTATCAATAAATGAGATTATATACAAAAAGCATATGTTTTCTGAATAATTCATCTAATGATAGAAATTTAAGCACGATGAAAAAATAATACATGAATACGTCATGGCACGAGGTATGCTGTTCCCGGAATTGGTTGCCGCCATTACAAAGCTGTACGTCACAAACGAACCTAGTGATGACCTGGTCTATAAAATTTCTTGATTTTAGGAAAAAGACGCTGAATCAAATGACTCGTAACGGTACAGGTTATAAAATATAACTTACGCACTCTTGAAAATGATTGTAAAAAGTCGAATCTCGGCAACACTATTGAGTAATAAAAGATTTAGGTAAAACGGATAAAAACGGAAGACGTAGTTCGAAACTACCGTTGTAACAAATATGTAAAACGTTTCATCTTTTTTTTACCTGCTGCTCTAGACCTGATCCATTCTGGTTGGCTGCATTACTCATATTACTCCGCCTCGGTACGTATTTTTCGTGGCTCTGCCTCAGAAGCTTTTTAGCTGTTTCTCGCCTAGACAACCACTAAGCAAAAAATTTCAATTGTTCGCTCCTTCGTTCTCTCTTATCGTTCCTCGCTGATCTACGAACGAAACTTGTCGACTTATGTGAAACAGTTAAAATTACAGTTTCTGCCTGTCGTTACTTCGATACAAAGGAAATTCGAAGACTGGCTACTATGAAAGGCCTCTGGCCACACTTGACGTCGACGCAACAAAAATGGCCGAGCGCCGAAATATTGCTAGCAAGATGGCTGTCGACTGATATCCGCCGGAAATTAAGAAAACTAAAGGAGCACGCACTGTTCGATAATTTTCCGATCGTTTACCATTCTTATTACACTTACGTATTAAATTTTCAAACGAATTTATAGCTTGCGCATGGTATTGAAATAAAGTTCGTGAACACGTTCGTGTTACTTTTTCAATTTACTGTCTGTTGGTACGCTTGCTCGAGATATTGACAATATCCATGTTTCAGAGCAAATTGCTAAACTAAATTCAGACTCTACTATTGTATACAGTAACGGGCAACTGCGCTTGCGAAATGAGTACTATACAGTAGACTTTCGTTATATTGCCACGGATAGAACTATAGCCTCTTGAATACATAGAACTCTTTTCATGCAGTATTTAACGAATTTGTAGATTCGAACATTTGATTTAGAGGATATTTAGATATATTTAAAGGGTAGTAAATTTGAGAGTGTATCAAAATTAATAATAAAAGATATATGAACAACAATATGGTCGTTTTTAAATGTTTTATTTTATAAGTTCAAAAATTTAATCAGTGATCAATCTAATCGTCTTTCTTTGTGTCTGTTTTGCCTCCTCTGATTCTTCCGGTACGACGAGCAGCAATAAGACCGATCTTACGACCAGCGCTAGTTCCACGTTTAACCGTGGAAGCTTTACCAATGTGTTGATGGTTACCACCACCGTGAGGATGCTCCACAGGGTTCATAGCAACACCACGAACCTGAAAAGAAAAAGAATTGTTTCAATCAAATACCTAACAAATACGAACTAATATAAAAGAAACTTTAAAGTCCTTCAGTTAAAAATTTTCCACACATCTTATTCAGGTTTCAAATGTCTTAAACCATCATTAGAAAGTATTTCCTCATAGTTCAATTTTATATGTATCATTAAGTACTGTACCTTAGGCCAGCAATTCCTCTTTGCCTTGTATTTGTGATAAGCACGACCAGCTTTAAGAATTGGTTTGTCAATACGTCCACCACCAGCAACAATACCAACCATGGCCCTGTTGTTGGATGGAATTACTTTCTTTGCACCAGATGGTAATTTTACCCTGGTTTTCTTTGTGTCTGGGTTGTGGGCTATAACTGTGGCATAGTTTCCTGAGGCTCTAGCTAATCTACCTCTGTCACCAGTTTTTTCTTCCAAGTTACAAACAATGGTACCCTCAGGCATTTGACCAACGGGCATCACATTTCCAATTTGAAGATTTGCTATAACAAAATGTTATACATTATTTATCTATACATGTTATGTAATATGAACATAACAACTTGTTTACTAAGATATATTTACCTTTCTTTCCACAGTAGAGAAATTGTCCAGTGTACATTCCCTCAGGTGCAATAAATAATTCTTTACGTGTCTTGAATTTGTACGGGTCACGAAAATGTACCATAGCTAAGGGTGCTCCACGACCAGGATCATGAATAATATCCTATAAACATAATATACTTTTAAACAAATTATCTAAAACAGATATGTTACAAATGAGGGACAGAAAGTCCTCAGAAAGAGCCTCTAGTGATTATTCTTCATTTCCACTTCAGGAGTAGGTGATACACTAAATCATCATATACATATTCCACTATTGTATAATAACAAAGACAAACATTTATAATAGATTTTAATTAGCCACACAAACCTTTACAACTCCTTTAATGTAACCATGCCTTTCAGAGAAGTCCAACGAACGAAGTTTGGGTGCTCCCTTTCTCCTTTTCGTATGGGATCTGAAGACAGACCCAGCACCTTTACGCTGAGCACGAATTACTCGACCCATGGTTTAAAACCTGCACAAAAAACGTTTATAATACTAAATTGTTTATTACAGCAACACTGAACACGTTCCAAAACGTGACAGTATGAGTTGTTGCTTCCGAAAACATAACCTCAAAAAGAGAAAGCAGAATTATAACACAATTTCTTTTATAAACACTAAAATATTTATGAAAATATATACAAAACAATTAAACTTAATCTATTTGCAACTACATATCGTTAGATGCATTTTATTTTTACAAATATAACACGATTTTAAAGCGAACGTAATCATGGGTCACGTACCAAGTGAACCGATACCGAATAGAGGAAGGCAATAGCGGAAGTCGCTCCTACATGTGAAATTTAAATTGGCTGCACTGTGCACTGGTCTGCGCGCCAAAACATTTAATTTTGAAAACGTGTAATGCATACACGAAAACGTTATGTAATTTTGTTATAATAATCATAATAAAAAATTATTAAATTCATATAAATATTAAAGATATTATAAAATAACTAAAATAGTAAAATTAAAAATATTAATTTTAAGGTTTGTGTTCATAGTTTTCCTGTTTGAGCTCATTATCAATAGCTATATTAACGAAGGAAGCTAGCTAGCTGATTATTTTAGTACAAGCGTTCAAAATGAACACACGTAGCTATATTTTAATTATTGTTTTATGTGCAGTGCTAGTCGAGTCGCATAATTTAAAAAGACAGAAAAGAATTGTTGGTGGCAGAGCAGCTGCACAACCTCCGATCGATGATCCTGTGGTTTACGTGACACGCAACAATCGACAAGCGCGTGTTTTCGGTTCTCGAGATCCGAACAAAGGATTCTATGTCTTTCGTGGGATTCGATATGGACAACCTCCAGTGGGTTCATACAGATTTCAAGTAAGTAACAATAATTCTTATTTACACAGAATATTTAACAATACATTAAAATACTAAATTAATATAGGAAGTGCTCATCAATTTATCAGTTAGCACATCCTGTACGATACCATTATCTGAAATTCAGTTTTCTGGAATACATTTAACAGAAAAAAATTATTTCCAGAGACCCGCGCCTTTGTACTTAGAAGGCGATATTAACGCAACAAAATGGGGTCCTCCGTGTCCTCAGCCAAATCCAAATGGCAAAGGTATCGTAGGAAGTGAAGATTGTCTTTTCTTGAATGTCTTCACACCTATGCTTTCGGATACCAGTGAAGGATATCCGGTATTGATTTGGATTCATGGAGGCGGTTTCAGAAGAGGCTCTGCTTGCCAATATGAGATGAGGAACATAATCAGAAAAAGAGTTGTGGTTGTTTCGATTCAGTACAGATTGGGTACACTCGGTAAATAAAATATATTTTTTTAAATAAAATAAATTTTTTTAATAAATATTGTAACGTAATTATTCGTAGGATTTTTGAGTAACGGTACGCACGAATTACCGGGTAACAATGGAATATTTGACATGATATTGGCGGTCAGGTGGGTGAAGGATTACATTCAATTTTTTGGCGGTGATCCAACGAAAATTGTCGCGTTTGGTCATGGTACAGGGGCCAGTGCTGCTTTCATGCTTGCACTGTCTAATTTCATGAGAGGTAAATAAAATACAACATCGAGGTCATAAAGAAATGAAAGGTCATTGAGATGAAATTCAGACAGAAAGTATTACTAATTTGTAGGCACTTTCAGCGGTTTGATTGCTATGTCAGGTTCAATTTTATCTCACTTCGCAATTGACAAAGATCCTCAAACAACTGCTCAGTTTATAGCTTCGCAAAATGGGTGTCCAACGAATAATGCAGTCGAAATGGTCCGTTGCCTTCGAGAGATATCAGTTGATAAACTAATTGAGGCTGATTCCAGTTTGGAAGCGATTCGCGTAGGTGTTCGAGATTTTGTTTCTGGGTTATCGAATATATTGGGTCCTGGTCCTGTTATCGAGGGTCGCGACGATGGGAGGTACAATCTGTACAGTTAACTCTCGTTATATCGCCGTGGACGGTGTTGAAGAAATATTGAGATAACTCTGACTTGTTTTTGTTAAAGATTTCTTCCCAACATGAACATCGATACTCCAGAGAACTCTTTACAATTTGGAGATTTACCAAAGATTCCACTACTGACTGGTGTTATGAACAACGAAGTAGGAGGAGCAATCTTGGGAGATTACAGAAATATAATTCAAGATAGATTACGATCTAATCCAAACTTTCTGAACGAATATCTTATACCAACTTTACAAAACGCTGTACCAAATTTTGGGAACAAGACGAACTTTGTGCCGGAAGCCTTTAGCAAATATTTGAATATTTTTAATGTGGGAGATGTTTCTGATAGTGTTTCTAAAATAGCGGAAGCTATGGGAGATTCTTTATTTAATGTTCCTGCGTTTTTGACTGTTGAGCATTGGGCCAAGAAGTCTGACGCCTTTTTGTACAGTTTTGATCACAATGGGAAACGAAATTATGGGAGAGACTTTTTACGGGGATGTCCTATAGCGAATGCGAGACACGCTGCAGATGGTATGATAGAGTTTGCTAATTTATAATTAGAATAGTAAGTACAATTCTTTGCAGCTATTACGAGTCACGGCGATGACCTTGGATATATTTTCCAACGTAATACTATTACTGGAGGAACGGTACCAAATTTTGATGAATCGGACGAAGAAGATAAACGCGTGGAAGAAGTCTTTACTGACATGATTGCTGAATTTGCCAGAAATGGAAAGCCGAATATACCTCTTCCGGCTGAAGATGATTTACTTTCGAATTTAACACCAACTTTTTCTAGCGATACCAATCCATTTATCAGTATTACCTCAACCCCTCGGCTCATGCAACAATTCAGGTGATTGTAGTTATAATAGTTTTACATATACTTAACAATTAAGTTATAAAAAACATTCATTTTATCAATTACTTCAGGTTCTGTGAAATAGGGTTATGGACAGGTCTCGCACAACGACTACAATCATCTACTTGTAATTACTTTAAAACTACCTTAGACGTTATAAATTACGGTAAACAAACAGCTCAAAACACCATTAAAAATCCTGTTCAAACGTTGAAGGAAAAAGTTCCAGAAGTTATACCTAATTATACTATTCCAATTAATAACCCAATACCCACGGGTATCAATATTTCCCCCAAAAATACAAAAAGTGGTCATATATTTCGAAGTATGCGACACGGACCACATAGATCACTTATGTGGTAACAAGATATAAAATACTGGACAATAAGATAACATGTTTGTTTTATATTAAAATTGTATTAAATAAAAGTAATTAATCATCTTTCGGTACATCCTGAAACAGTTGTAATATTTCTTCTTCTTCCTTTTCTTTTTCTTGTGGTAAATGTTCCTCACTTGCTTTTGATACTTCAGCGACTTCCAAATTATGATCAGGTTCTTCTGTTGTGTCCATAACTTCAGTATTATTACTTTCATTTTCTTCAGTCACTTGAACAGGTGGTACTGTTTCTTCAGTTTCATTTGTATCATTTACCGGACTAACATCATTCAACTTATCACATGTTTCACTTTCTGCAATACTTGGTTCTTGTTCTTCAACTGTCATTTCCGTTTCTGTCAAACTATTTAATTTCTCTAAAGAATTTTCATTTGTTTCTTCAACTTGTACCTCATCTTCAGTTACATTTTTAACAACAGATTCGTCAATCTGTTCAACATGTGAGTCTATTACTTTTAATTTTTTATTCGATGATGGTTCTGTATCTTCTGCAGTGTTTACAGTATCAGTCTCTATTGTTTCATTATGTTCTTGTACAGGTGGATCAGCAATAAATTCTTTCTCAATAGTTCTTAAAAATAAAAAAAAAAATATTTAATATTAATGTTTTTAAATAGATATTTGTAGATTCTTTTTTTACTTACTCTACTTGAGTCAATTGTATCGATGGAGCATGAGGATGCACGATTTTTTCAATTTCTGCTAATGCTACTTTAGCTTCTTGAGTAATGTGTAAATTACTATCATTTAAAGCCATTTCAAATATTTCTAAAGAATATTGCGTAGGTAAGGGTAGTAAAGAGTGCGGATTCATTTGTAAAGCTCTCAAAACCCTTAGTAATAACAAACGACATTGAGGATGTTGTTTATAAAAATGTTCATCTGAAGAGTTTAGGTAACAATCATATAAGAGGGGTATTGCAGTATTTTGTATAGTCTGAAAGAAGTATTAACATTGTTGAAATTTGTTGAGTACTAATTGAATACATCTAAGTTCTGGAAAAAGTTTACCTTGAAAAATGTTTGCTTTAAAAGAGTCCCACTATTGAAGAATATATTTTGTAATACATTGAGAGCAGCCTCACATATATCTGTGTCTAAACTATGTTCTTTACCAGAGGCTGTTTTGTTACCCAAATGTGTACTTTTTTCGTACTGACTGTCTCGCAAACGTTTTAATGCTCTTTTAGATAAATTATGATTTCGTTGAATCTGTATAACATTAATATATATTTCATGAAATATTAATGTTATGTTCTATTAAAACTCGATTTCCCAACTTACTGTTAATAAAACACGATTTTTTTCTGGCACTACATCTCTTAATATAGAAGGAAGATATTCGTCTGAAACTGTTTCTATGCCTGATAGAGCGTTAGTGTGCATCAACCAAGAGTTGAGACATTTATAAACACTTATCCTTACATTCCTAAATGGTTTATTGCCACTAATTGTTATCTGATCTTCTAGAACTGTTTCTGTCCATTGCAGAGTTTGAAGAAACAGTTCTAATATTCTTGATCCAAATGGTACTAATTGTTCCTTAAATCTGAATATTTTAAATTGAGAAATGTGAAATACGTTTTAGTCATTATTTTCATTTACTTAAATTTTTACCCGCTAATTAATGCTTCTAAGACATTGAGTAACGCAATATGTAAGTGTGGTAAAAGAAGATACAACATTTGTTGTTGAACAGAGGTTTGGTTTTTTAAGTTTGAAGGTTGAATTGCTAGTCCTCTACATAAAACCTTTAAAATCTCTTGAGGAAATACTGTATTTTTTCTCCCAAATCCCCTATAACAATATTTGTTGGTACTTAAAAAGACCTTTTAGCTTATCCTATAAACATCTACACTATTTTCTTACCGTAACATGTGTGATAAATAAGTGCACAAATTTAAAAACCTAAGTTTTTGTTTAAAATAAAATTGAATAACATTTTCTTGGGATATATTGGGTAACTCCAATTTATCCCAAATGTCCACATTTTCTAACTCTATTAAATTAGAAAATAATTCATCCATAATGGTATGTAAACTATTGCAAATAAGTGCTTGATTATATGTCCAAGCAGTATAGCCAGGTTTCGAGGCTGGTGATTTAAATGAACGTTCTGTTGCTTTTGCTAACAGAGTATAACATTTTGCACTAGCACTAACTAAATTCTCTTCTGGAGAATCAATTTGTAATAGAATAATTTTTTTAATAGTTGCCTGGAATCAAAATACTTAATACCTTCCAAAAATATCTTGTTACCCCATTGAAAAAGATACATTACCTGTAAACGTTCAGAAACTTCTGGATACTTATGTAATAATGTGGCAATTAAATAGTATACTGGACCACATTTCCTTTCCAAACTTAAATTATTAATTACATTAACAAGTTGTTTCACATTCTGGGTCGATACTTGTTTCTGTATATCTGGAATTTCTTTCGAATGAGCAATTAAGCATCCAAGAACTTTGCACGATATAGATAACTCTTGAGGAGAACTATGAATGCTTTCTAACACTTGAGTTGCTTTTGATATCCATAATATACAGTATTTCAAAAGCACATCTTTTGAACATTGTGGTAAAATCTTATCCAATATTAATAAACCACTATACCGAGAATGTGAACGGTTCAAATTAGTATTTATTGCTGATATAATAACATTTTGTGCTTTATCAACCTGAAACCAGAAAAAGATACAAACATAATATAGTATCTAAATAAGAAAATAATATGTTTATGTCAAAGTATCACCAAACATGAGTACAAGAATGTAATTATAAAGTATGAATATAAGATTATTCTTACTTCTTCTATATCGAACGGAATATCCCCATTTAAACATATCAAATCTTGTAAAAAGTCTTCATATTCCCTCGAATTATGATCAAAGGAATTAATTAACTCCGTAATTGTTGTCATTTTATTTCTATAACTACACACGTGCTTTTGATAACTTTGACGGATAGGTTAGGTTCGGAAATAAAATTACATTTTTTTAAAATGATATAAACCATTAATTAAGTTTGTATTAATATAGTGTAGGACTAATGAAACTTAATAAGAAAGATATGAATGAGTAGGAAACATATATCAGCAATAAATTTTATAAAAAATATATCATGGAGGAATCATTTCCTTTGGCGCGTAAATTTATATCCCGCCTAAAATTTCAAATTGAGTTTTTCCACCATTGCTTATTTTTTGAAAATCAAATGTTGGAACGTTGGAAATTTTACATTTTGTAGTTTTTGGGATTCAAAATCTTTTAATTTTAGGACTTTGGAATTTTTAAATCTAGAAAATTCAGGATTTTGGGATTCTGGATAAAAGTTTAAGAGCTTCAGTGTGCACGATGAAATATGTTATTACGTTTTCGGGGAAAAATTTTATTTGCTCACAAAATTAATACACGATTTCAGACTTTACATTTAATAAAAAGTATACAGATTTTATTCCTGCATCAAAGGTGAAAAATACAAACTATACATATTTATGAGAGTGCAATTATAAAAAAGAAATTTACTCTAAAATTTAGTTGGATGGATTTGAACTCGCGTGCAAAAACAAGCTTCATTTAGTATTCCAGCGTTTAACCAACCGCTCCACGGTTTTGTAGCCAAAACGCTGTTCATAAAATAGTAAACGTAGTCAGAATGTTAAGCTTTCGGTAACAGGTCTAAAATATTGACCGTCAGCGTCGAAAATCGCATATATGAAGAGGCATAATAACATGCTCTATTAATATGCAAAAACTCATTAAAATCTGAGTGGGTCACTCGGAAAGCTCACCTTGTTAGAAGTAGTTAGAGCGTAGCAAACGTTGTGAATCTTTTACGCAACGCGATTGGCCTCAATCGCAAAAGGAATTATTATGTAATTTTGCGGTGTACTCGGTGGTGACGGTTCAAATATTTCTTCTCATTCCATGAATGCATACAATCACGGCAGCCACCATTCTGTTTGCATTTTTTCGTCGCAGTCATAACAACAGTTCTCTTTTTATCACCATTGAACAAATTTTTTACGTACATGCAAAGTGATACATTCTACGTGGAAAGTAAGACGTATTACATTTTTATTTTACGCAAACATCACCGGTACGTTAATGTATCTCTTTCATGCAAATTTTCGAGTAAATTCTGTAACAGGTGATACTAACAATAAGTGACCATAATTCTCAAAATATCTACGCAGATCAGATACTTGGTATCTTCATATAGAAAACTTTCGTCATAAGTTTATGCAATATGTTATGATCATTCATACTATTTATGTACGTAATTACTCTCATACATATAACAGGTGCAAAATATGTCGACAGTTCGTACTTCCGTCATTCTGATTAAAAGACATCATCTCGTAATCACAATACGCAAACAGTAAATACCACATTTGATTGTTTGCGGACTGTCTCGTTCATGGCCGACGTTTGCCGTAAATTACCGAAAGACGATCGGTTTCTAAATCGGGATTTTTCATTATCTCCGCTACTTGACTATGTCATTTTTGTCTACCTAGGTATCTCGTAAATCAACAAATCAAAACATAATATTATTGTAAATAATATCGTGTACAGTTATACAAACATCTCGTATTAATGGATAATAAAAGATGATAAGGTACATATTTGTAGTTGACAATGGAGTAGAGTATTAGGTAATATGCGGTTGTGATGTAGGCTTTAGAATAAAAATAAACGGAGAGATACTTATAATTGGAACTTGGGTTTAGGATAATCCTGGAAGAGGGAATTTTTAGTTCGAGCGTGGGGAGCATGGTCAGATATGGAGAGAGGTTGGACAAGTCAAATATTGTTTATTTTAAGGTTTGTAAGTGGAATTAGCTTTTGGAAATTTTTAAATTGGGGAATTTAGGGTGATGGGAAATTAAGGAGAGGGGAATTAGGGAGATGGAAATTTGGGAAGATGGGAATTTAAGGAGATGGGAAATTTGGGAGATGGAAAATTAGGGAGATAGGAAACTAGGGAGATGGGAATTTAGGGAGATGGGATTTAGGGAGATGGGAAATTAGGGAGATGGTAATTTGAGGAGATGGAATTTAGGGAGATGGGAAACTAGGGAGATGGGAATTTAGGGAGATGGGATTTAGGGAGATGGGAAATTAGGGAGATGGGAATTTGAGGAGATGGGAAACTAGGGAGATGGGAAATTAGGGAGATGGGAATTTGAGATGATGGGAAATTTGGGAGATGGGAATTTAAAGAGATCGGAATTTGAGGAGATGGGAATTTAGGGAGATGGGAAATTAGGGAGATGGGAATTTGAGGAGATGGGAAATTTGGAAGATGGGAATTTGAAGAGATGGGAATTCGTGGAGATGGGAATTTGAAGAGATGGAAATTTGTGGAGATGGGAATTAGGAAGATGGGAATTTAGGAAGTTGGGAATTTGGAGATATGGAAATTTAGAGACTTAAGAATTCAAATACTTAAAAATTTAGAGATTTGGTGCATCAGGGAGTAATAAATTTAGAAGTGTGAAGCCATAAGACCTTGAAATTTGGAATTTTAGTATCACAGGAATTTGAAACACAAAATTTTGCAAATTTAAAAATTGAGACAGATGAATCTACAAATCTTGGAACCTTCTACCTATACAAACTTAAAATTCTGACTATTTCCAAATATCTGAAGATTCTCATCCTCCCAGAATGAAAATAACCCCCTCCCACTTGTTCCAAAGGGAACCAGCACCCAACTATAGACACGGAACTGTATAGAGCCCTATAACGCCTACTGTCCATCCTCCTTCCTGACCAGGACAGAAATGTCCTCCCTTTCCCTTCCTCCACTTCACCCACATCCCCTCTTTTCCACCTGGGACTCGCTTCTAGCACTCGTTCTTCCTCCGATCAGTTCCCCTACCTACCGGTGTCCAGTTACGTTGTGGAGAACGTTGTGGACGACAGTTTGTTTGGAGTTTAGTCACACGAGAAATCCCGTTCAATCTTTTCCCATTAACAAAAACACTCGGAACAGTGTCGTATTCGTCGATTGTGCCTTAGTGATCGTGGATAAGTACTCTGTACCGGTTTCCCTTACCGATTTCCTCGGTATACCCATTTACATTCCATACCCACGCGTGGTTTTGCAAGTACGCAGGATTCGGTGCTTTGGTGAACATTTCCATGGAAAAACTGGAGGATCCTCACTGAAGGATCGAGGACAGTCGGTGCTGATATTCCGATCGACTTTCGACAAACGGATCAGGAATGCGGCGGGAATCGTTAATGAAAAATGGACATTAAACAGGTATGTACGCAAGGATAGGAAAATGGACAGTCCCATAACAGCCATATTGAAAAGTGGCCAGTTGTCGAGGGCGGTTAGGTGAGACAGTTAGGAAAGAAAGTCGGGATACACGAGCCGTTTTATTGCCGTTAGTGGCTTCTTTGCTTCCTTTACCGTCCGTGAGAGAGTGGACCCACCTTCTGACAGGTGGAATGTGGGGACCCAACATAGCCGTGGGGACCGACAATCGCGATCGCAGCGACTCGACGCGACTCCTTCAGGTACGTGCCTTTTGCTCAGCCCGCGACCTCATGTCTGTTGCTTTTGTTTTTACTCGTGTTCTAAACAATTTTATGCTGGATAAAATATTTACGCGTTAGGATTCTGTGAACACTCGAGCATTCAGCCATTATTTCAGGCTCTGCGTTTATTATGCATTAGATTGTATGACAAAATTTGTGTGAGTTCACTTCGTTCAATGATTGTATTTGATGGAATGCATAAGGGCTTAATAAAATTGTAAGTTAGGTGGGCATGTGAGGTGCATTACTCCAAATAGGTGTGACATGTTCAGCAAAGTTTATAATTTAGATTAGAATTTTAGTAAAATTAACTAACGTTAACTGATATTAACTAACATTAACTGAAATTGTTAACTAATATTCGTGTATTGCGGACTGTGTGATTTTGATACATTTTAAAGGAATCAATCACAGTTTCAAACTGGAGTTGCGTATGTAACGCTGTTGGCGGTCATTTTATAATTGAGAATGTTTAAAATGGCGGTCATTAGCGCCGGCGCGTTCTTGACAACGTTCAAAATATTTTGTATCGTTTCTACTGGAATAATATAACTTTTGTTCTGGAACATCTTATAACAGAGTTTTCTAGTAACATTCAATGATATTTCCATTGCCATTTACGAGAGATATACACATTCGTGTAAATTTACATTATATTTAGAATACATTAGAGTATGTATATTACTAGACTCTTGGAATCTAGGAACTGCTAGTACATTTCCTCTGGATATTCCTGTTAAAAATGAAGATAAAATTTTGTATTCTTAAATCCATAATTCCCATCTCCTTAAATTCCAATTCTCTAAGCTCTCATTTACCTAAATTTCTATCTCCCTAAATTCCTATATCTCTAAATTCCCATCTCCCTAAATTCTCATCTTCCTAAATCCCATCTCCCTATATTTCCATCTCCCTAATTTCCATCTCCTCAAATTCCCATCTCCCTAATTTCCCATCTCCCTAATTCCCCATCTCCCTAATTTCCCATCTCATCTCCTCAAATTCCCATCTCCTTAATTTCCCATCTCCTCAAATTCCCATCTCCCTAATTTCCCATCACCCTAATTTCCCATCTCCCTAGTTTCTCATCTTCCTAAATTCCATCTCCTCAAATTCCCATCTCCTTAATTTCCCATCTCCCTAAATTCCCATCTCCCTAATTTCCCATCTCTCTAATTTCCCATCTCCTCAAATTTCCATCTCCCTAATTTCCCATCCCCCTAATTCCCGTCTTCTCAAATTCCCATCTCCCTAATTTCCCATCTCCCTAGTTTCTCATCTCCCTAAATTTCATCTCCTCAAATTCCCATCTCCCTAATTTCCCATCTCGCTAAATTTCCATCTCTCTAAATCCCAACTCCCCAAATTCCCCAATTTCAAAATTTCCAAACTTACCAAAAGATCAAAACTTTCCTATTAAATTTTCTCTGAATAAATATAAATTTAAAGAATAGTCAAATATAGAGTTAAATAATTTACATGATTTACATTTGAAAATTGCAAAAAGGTTAATGAGAAGCTCAACAATTTATCTAGCATTTAAAGGTTGTTAAAGTGATCAAGATTGCGATAAACAAGTCTTTATCCGATAACATTCGGCTGTGATTTCCCGTGGAAATAACGATAAGAGCCCTAACATCTTACTTCAATTACCTTCGAGAAATGCAAAGCGTCGTTATTGATATAGTTTCTTGTACGTTCAATAAGGTTAAGCAAACGAGTTTCCAGTTGCTGTAAATATCCGGTGCTTTTAGGAAGCTGTTACTAATTAAACGTTCCAACAACCTGTTCTTTCGTTTAATTAATTGTCTTGATACATGTATACGTGTATATGAAAGATTTAACGCGGTAGATTTGACTTTCACCCAACTGCACTACTTTCACCGAACCTCTTATACGTAAGAAAATTTCGAAACGAAAAACTCTTCTTTTAATCATGATCGAATTTACAGTTATGAAAGTCTTTGGACGTATGAACATGTTTCGATAGGAATCTATTGTAATTTGTTGTGACATTTAATTTATATGATGAGATTAACGCATGGTTCGATTGAGTGTCGGTTAATTATTTTTTAGGTTAGGTTCTTTGTTAGGTTAGGTTACTTGTTAGGTTGGGTTACTTGTTAAGTTAAGTTACTTGTTAGGTTAGGTTATTTGTTAGGTGGGGTTACTTGTTAAGTGAGACTTTTAGGTATTTTCATTAAGTATTAAAAATTATTATGAATCACTTAAAGTCAGTTTTATGACATTTTGATGTAATTAAATAGTGTCAGAATTTTCCATATTATTATATATTTACATATTAAATGAAATAGAAGCAGCACATTCACAATGTTGTGTCATAACAAGTTTGAAACAAGTGCGTGGTTTTATTATCCTCAGGTGTGCCATAGAAATTTTGTTTTTCTGTGTCGAGCCATTTGTTACAGCTGGGATTAGACGACCTTCACTCTTTGCATAAGAGGATCAATTTTATTGTACACATGCGAATGTATATTAATTGAACATCTCGAATTGTTACCTCTTTAACAAGTAATCAAATTTGTTTGTTACAAATAACTTTCATCGTATGAAAATAAAAGCAAATTTATTCAGACCAGTCTGATCAAATTTAACCTACTTAACTTCACATTCATATACTCTAAATTGCCATTTTTAAAGTGCTAAATGTTTAAAATATTAAAATTGCACACCAGTAAGAATTTTGCAAAAGTCTAAAAAAAAATATAAAAATTTTAACATTGACATAAAAATGAAAATCCTCTGATTTATCAAAATTGCAAACACAAAACTAAATATAGAATTTTAGTAAAAAAAACAACATGGACACATGGTTGAGGTAGCATGAAATAAGAAGTTTTTTAATTACTTGTTAGGTTAGGTTATTTGTTAGAATCCATTTTATGAATATTGAGACTTTTAGGTATTTTCATTAAGTATTAAAAATTATTATGAATCACTTAAAGTCAGTTTTATGACATTTTGATGTAATTAAATAGTGTCAGAATTTTCCATATTATTATATATTTACATATTAAATGAAATAGAAGCAGCACATTCACAATGTTGTGTCATAACAAGTTTGAAACAAGTGCGTGGTTTTATTATCCTCAGGTGTGCCATAGAAATTTTGTTTTTCTGTGTCGAGCCATTTGTTACAGCTGGGATTAGACGACCTTCACTCTTTGCATAAGAGGATCAATTTTATTGTACACATGCGAATGTATATTAATTGAACATCTCGAATTGTTACCTCTTTAACAAGTAATCAAATTTGTTTGTTACAAATAACTTTCATCGTATGAAAATAAAAGCAAATTTATTCAGACCAGTCTGATCAAATTTAACCTACTTAACTTCACATTCATATACTCTAAATTGCCATTTTTAAAGTGCTAAATGTTTAAAATATTAAAATTGCACACCAGTAAGAATTTTGCAAAAGTCTAAAAAAAAATATAAAAATTTTAACATTGACATAAAAATGAAAATCCTCTGATTTATCAAAATTGCAAACACAAAACTAAATATAGAATTTTAGTAAAAAAAACAACATGGACACATGGTTGAGGTAGCATGAAATAAGAAGTTTTTTATATAAAATATTCTTGTATCATCTCATCTCCATTATAAATTACCTTGCAATTTCATTAATCTGAATATTTCTTTATTTATGTCGTGAGCGTGTAATCTTCGCCTGGAAGAAAAAGTTATCGGATATCTCACCAGAATATTTCTTCGTGAGCATGCGATGAACTTTTCAAAATTCGTGATGAATATCGGCCGCGAACGAAAAAAAATGATAGTAACGGAATTTTACTAAAGTTGATCACATTCAACAGGTTCTACTTCAACAAAGATACCGACGCGTTGATAAATATTGATAGGGTAAACGGAGTTTAAACGTAATTTGCATTACTAGCTTTTCATGCATAAATGAAACCGCTGGTGCGTTTACATTTGCGGCTTATGTATTTGAACTTTGCTTTATTAGTTTCTTATTATTCTGTATGCTTTTATCGTCTGCTTTGTAATTCCATTGAACAATTAACGCTTCGATGTGAATTTGAGAATTTGGGGAAATGAGGACTAGGGAATTTGAGAATTTGGGGATTTGAGTACTAGGAAATTTGAGAACTTGGAGTTTTCAGAATTTATGGGATTTTGGAAACTAGGGAATTTGAGAATTTGGAGACTTAAGTACTAGGGAATTTGAGAACTTGGGGTTTTCAGAATTTTGGGGATTTTGGGAACTAGGGAATTTGAGAGTTTGGGGATTTGAGTACTAGGGAATTTGAGAATTTGGAGATTTAAGAACTAGGGAAATTGAGAGTTTGGGGATTTAAGAACTTGAAAGCTTTGAAATTTTGGGAATTTGACAATTTAACAATGTCTCAATTTCTCAATATAACAATTTGAAAATTAAAAAAAAATTTTGATAATTTGTCAATTTGAAATTAAAAAAATTTAAAACCTAAAAATATTAAAACCTCCTATAATTTGTTACTCTTTCTTCAAACACCAATTACCTATCATTAACCAAATTTCTAACAAACGTGTATTTAAGTAATTAATTAAAAATACCTACTATGTATCACCATTAATATCTTTTTTTTGGTATATTATTAACGATATCATGTAATACGTATGAATTTCAAATGCATTGTAATTGCAGTTTCTGTTCTCAATCTCGTTTGTTATTACACCTGCTGAATGATA